GAAGTTAGCAAGCCTTGTTAATCAAAATAATCAATTGATACAGCAAAGAGTGAGCTACAATTCAATATTTGCCACGATTAGATGGACGAACAAACAAAAAAAATCACTGGGCAAAGTAAAAGCTGCATGTCGCAAAGCATTTGCAAATTGGTTTAAATACACCCTTTTCATATAGAATATTTATGCACAATATAGGATTAAACGTTTTTTTTTGAAAAATTTATCGATGTGTAAACTCTTGACATTTTACTCACAAACTAAATAAAAGTGCGAAGCACTTTTATGTTAAGTTTGTGAGTAAAATGTCAAGAGTTTACACATCGATAAATTTTTCAAAAAAAACGTTTAATTCTTATAATTCCAATATCGAATTTTTTAAAATATTTAAATTATTTCTCTTTGAGGCCTCCATACAATCCGTTATTTCTGGACGGCGTAGGAATACATTTTACCGTAAAGGAACGTAATCGAGATGAATTTCGATAGAGTTCAACTTAAATTGTCAAAACAATCGATAAATAAACTTATAACAACTAATCGAATGTTGTTTAAGTCAACAAAAATCGTAATTACGAGTTTACTTCAGAATAGTTCGTCTTTGACCATGGCCATGTTGACATAAACAACAACTCTCATAGCGAAAGTTGCAGACCGACGACGCCTTCAATTTGCACTTGTTTATTCAAATATTGAGGAACAATATAGAAAGTAAATATGAATTTGATGCTAATAGGGCAAGAGTTTGAGGTACGTTTCTTTTCCCTGTCAAAACGATACAGACTGAGCTTATTTTCTACGTATGAACGTCGAGACAGCGATTTTTAAAATTCACACTCGTGATCGGACAGTGACATAAACATTTTCACGGCGTCCATCAGTTAGGCAGTCTAGTATGTTGCCAGTTTTGTTTAAGCCCTAATTAAATTTAAAGTTTCTTGTATTCATTATTTAGCCAGAACAGACCCAGAAATAACTGCTTTCATTGTTTATACGATAACCTAGTAGTGTCATCAAGAAAGTAGTTCTGATTGAAAGAATTTATCGATGTGTAAAAATTTTCTGGAACGTGTTCTCGTCCAATCAAAACACAGGAAATCATTAGATAAAATGAAGATTGGAATTATTTTCGTGTAAATGATAACTCGTCTTTTTATTAATTTTATTTATTTTCGAAGTATTGGTTTAACCCCAAACAAATTAACGCAAAAGTCATAGCGCCTAGCATAATCCACAAACTTTTGGACATGTCTTTCTTTTTCGCTGTCTAAAGAGGCAACCATCACAAAGTTAAAATCTGAACATCTCTGATCAGTATTAATACATGGAGGTTTTTTTCTATGTACAGGTGGCTTTGTTGTGTGTGCAGATGTTTGAGAGCACTGTCCACAAGTTTTCTCATAGAGATGGTCCTTTGCGGGATCAAGACAGGCATTTGATAAAAAAGAGATGTCACTACAACGCGGGTCTTTGTCACAACAACCATGTGAACAAGACGTTGCTGATTTAGGCAGAGGTACAATGTATGGAAGTGGTGGTGGTGGTTGGCATGGCCTTAGTTCGCATCTTTGGTATTATAGTTTTAATGTGAATTTTTGGGATAAAATAATTATCATTAAACTTATTAACGGTTAAAAGTTTTTTTTAATTCTTGTTTCTTGACTTACACTTACCAATAACAGGTTACGTAAATTTACGTTAAATCATTAGTATTTCTAGTTTCTATCACAAACATATATTTTATGATTATGATTACTATAAAAAACATGGCAGATAGATAATTTCCTCATAGTTTCATCTATTCATACATATATGTTAATTTTCTGGTTAACAAAAGAAACTTGGAAACAAAAAGCTCACCTTTCGAGTTGCAGGGATCCAGATTACAAGGACGGTACGATTCCCCTTTGTTATCACTACAACAAAAACAGATGCTTACCATTCTATATCTTTTGCCTATGATGTTACCTATTACCACTGGAGCTTTAGTAGTATGTTTAATTGGCCCACCAAGGCTACTCAAGCTTTCACATGTCTATGGAAATTAAGGATAGCCAACACGTTCCTCAAAAATATTTAATTTTTCACAAGAATTTGTCATTGAAGTCTAGGTACTTCACAAGTTTCCACACAAAAATTAGGGTACCTTACTGCCTTACCAGGCATTTGGATAAGCTACCACAGGGTGATATTTCTTATATATCACATATGTGTAATCATCTAAATGGCCTATATCACAATTTCTGGAATACTTATATTTAAAAACATGTTGAAAACAATATAGAAATTACAAGAGAATGAGAAATATGGATATTTTAAAAATAATAACAAGAAATGCAAAAGATATATTTGAGGAACGTATCGTCTGACCTTAATAAGTTTAAGATAGGAAAGAGATATTTCAGAATACAATCAATAGATATAAAACAAAAAGCGAACATCTTTACACGCAAACTATTTTAAATATCCCATAGTGCTTTCGTCCCCCTATTGCATCATTCCTCAAAATACATATAATTATTTGTGAATACATTGAACCTCAAACTTGTTTAAGTTCTTAATTTTTTTTTGTAGACACAAACAACACATCCTGGAAATGGTGTAACGTCATAACGTCAATGAAGGCGATGTGAGGAAAATCACGAATAATGATAAGATACCCTTTCAAAATGGGAACAATTTTATCAATGAAGAATGCCATTAGACCTTTTTCTTGCCGCAGTGACAATACAACGATAGTACTCGAGGGTTCGTTCAAATACTGAAGGTTTGCTATCAATAATAATCTATGGAACAAATTCTTGTTTGAGGGCCAAGATAGTTATGTTTTTTTTAAAATATATACAAAGAGTGGTAACGATAGTGCATTTGGGCAGACAATTAGACTAAATTAACTAGATTAACTTTATTTTTACCTGATTAGACACGCATCCCGAGCTGTATACTAAATAACCATTGTTGTGAATGTTTTCTGATGTAAGTCATACCCACAAAGACATTAAGTGAAATTTTAAATCCGGTTTTATACAAATATGATTCAAAAGGTTATTTGCAACTTCCATAATGGCAACTATATACAGTAGGTTATTGAGAACTCCAATTTATGATAGTAATGCATAGGAACAAAAAAAAATTGATCATATTCTCTATCCAGAATGTTTCATCGGGTTTTGAAGATGTTAAACAATCAATATATTCTTATATCCAGCTTGACATCTGACCTTTCACAATTTGTTATCTAAATAATTAGGAGTCAACTGCATATACTCTTTACTGAACACCGACATGCCTAAAATAATTCAATATCTTTATATGCAAATTGATCCTTGATTTTTTATCACGTGAACACAGAAAAAATACGTGCCATTTATATTATCTTATCTATGAATACAACTTTTGCAACTTTTAATTACATTATCGTGAAACGTTGAATGAAATATGGAAATCTATGCGGTAAACTTATGTATTTAACTTGTGTACGCAAAATGAAGAAAATTCGCTCTTTCTTAAGGCTGAACTCGATTCGCAAAAGGATTGTATTCTCCATTTTCGATCTCACTCTCGCTACATCTGTTGAACCCTAAACAATCGACCGAACAGTGTCATCTTGTGTAACTCTAATGCAGGGAAGTAAGATATCAAAGAAACTTATAATAGTTGCATATGTCAGTGCAGTATACAAAGAAGAACACAACTAATATATATATAACGACAATAAAATTTAACAAAGGTAATGCAAGATATTCTGAACGAACAGGGACGCCTTTCCATGAGATAACTGTGAAAATAAGCAGTGAAGGTGTATCAAAAGCTTAGGTATACCTTAGTGTTGATATTGTAGATAGTTGTATCGAAAGTGGCCTATGCCTATTTACAAGTTGTGTTCAGCTTTAACTATTTTTTACTGAACTTATTGAATAGCAGTATTTCTAAATAGTCCTATATGTTTTATTGGTTATGAACTTAGGTTTGAATTAAGACATTTTTAAAAATTTCTGATATTGCAGGAGAATGGAATTATCTTAAAGGCGTGAAAAATTACATTTTAAAAAAATGTGAAAATCTCATGTATTCAAAATCTGCCTGAATATTGATACCATAAAACCCAACTCAATGTGTGCGCATTCACCACATATTTTCGCACAAATATGTCACAAACAAGGATCAATACAGATAACTCTCCTTTTTGAAGCCTTGGTACAGGTTCCATGTTTATTGATATGTGTCAAATATCTACACCAAAAACAAGAGGCCGAAGGTCGTGTCTAAATTTTAAAGATAAATAAATTTATAGTTTATGAAATTCACTGTGACTAGAAGAGTATTGACTATGCAAAAATTTTCTTGAACTAGTTTTTTAAGATAAGCAAATACAGTATGTTAAAGACAAGAAAAAAGACCAGGGCAAAATGATATTACCGTTCCCTACTTTTTCAGTTGAAACAAACCTTTGCACATAAACAAGATATGACACTTTCTTAGAGTCATATTGCCATCTTTCATTCATCTTTTTCATTTTATTTTCAGATTAATGAGCTTTTCCAAACAATTTAACCATAACTCCTAGCAAAGTTTACATACTTTTGGGCATATCTTAGCTTGTTGATTGTCTAAACAAGCAAAGGCCACAAAGCTAAAATCAGTACATCTCGGATCTGTATCAACACATGCAGGTTTTGTTGTATGTGCAGGTGTGTGAGAGCATAGTCCACAAGTTTTCTCACAAAGATGACCCCTAGAGGGATCAAGACAGGCCGTTGATACGAAAGAAAAATCATTACAACGGGGGTCTTTGTCACAACAACCGTGTGTACAAGACGTCGTAGGCAGGGCTGTGGTGGTGGTGGGCGTGGTCGTAGTGGTAGTGGGCGTGGTTGTTGTGGTGGTGGGCGTGGTTATAGTTGTTGTGGGCGTGGTCGTTGTAGGGATAGGCGTGGTCGTTGTAGTTGTAGGCGTGGTCGTTGTAGTAGGGGGCGGGATCGTTGTAGTTGTACTATGAAATTCTTGCATGAAATTAAACAATTGATTATTTTTCTTTTGTAAAATAAACTTCACTGACAACTTAAAGGTTACTTCCTTTTATGGCTTTCACTTTTCATCAATTAGGTATAAGATCTTTCAAGAAAATAAGTGGACCAAAGGAATATATATCATCATATTTGAAAAAAAACCACACATTTGTCTTATTTTTTTACATTACCTAACTCAACTAAATTAAAATGAAAAGGAGGGAGAAATATTGACGTAAAGGACGTTACATGTTACATATGGTATTTTAAATTTAATAAAATATCTTTTCACTACGACTTGACTATTTTCAGTGTATATGTTTAAATGACATCGAAATATATCAAAACATGAGATTAGACATAACAGATATTAGATTTAAACCTACTCGGATGAATGTATCCTTGAGCTGTTATAAAACCATTCATATTTGTAGCAGTACACGTGTACGTGCCGAAAGACGTCACATCCGCTGACAGTGTCAAAGAAGGTTGATTACTGAGTGTAATACCATTCGGAGAAGTTGAAACACCATTCACCAGCTAATTGAAAAAAATGAGATCTTAAGTGAAAAAAAGGTTCACTTTAATATTACTGTCAAAACCATTTTACATTTTTCCAGCACCAATTCTCTGAGCTCTTATTGAATTTCAAAGCGCGACATTATAATACAAGTTGCCGACGTTGGGCAGTGGTTAGAAAATCTGCTTTCAAGTCACAGGGTAAGGAATTGATCTTTAAAGCTGAACACGATTCGTAAAAGGAATATGTCCGCCATTTTTGTTCGGATTCTCGCTATATCTGCATACCCCTATATAAAGGGCAGGACTTAGTCACTCTTCAGAGTAATAAGTCGATACCGGTGAAGACGGACGATGCAATACAGCACTCGATATCGACAACAATATAATTGTAATTATACTTCCTCTAATGCAGGAAAGAAAGATACCAAAGAAAATTACATTTATATTTGCACAGGTCAGTGCCGTTTACAAATAAACACTTACACGTAATTGCAATAAAATGGAAACAAAGGCAATGCAAAATAACCAGCATGGACACTGGTCGCCATTCCACGCCTATACCCGTTATAAAAAGCAATCAGGTGTAACGAATCTGAAAGAGTATACCCTGATGTTGATGTATCGTAGATAATGTTATCGAACTTGGCATATGCCTATTTACCGGTCCGAGTCGTGTTCAGCTTTAAGTTACGGTTTTGAATCATACTGCAGGACATAGAGACAGGTCCTTCAGATGACACCGTATAAACCGAGGTCCGTGTCGCAAGAGGTGCTGGCACGAAGAAGATCCCTCATTGCTTAAAGGCCGTCAGTGCCGAGTAAAGGGCAAATGATGGAGTCACAATATGAGTAAAAATTCTTTTCAGGGTCATTAAACAACAGAAAAAACAAAAAAAAAACAAAATTCCAAAAAGCAAAAAAATAAAAATAGCCCTTGCATAAAAATATTTATATATTATAAGATATTTATTTACCGGTTCAAATGACCATTTAATGGTAGCGTTGGTCTTTGGATCCGCCGCACACCTTAGTGTGACGGTGGTGGCTGGGTCTACCGTGAAATTATCCGGCTTCGTTATAAAGTGAGGTTTACCTATGAAAAGAAAAATATACAATGAATGATAAAAACTGTAGAAAAGATACAGTAAAAACTACTTCCATGGAACTCTTATATAACGACGTGTTGGTTATCAGAGAGTTTACAATTTATATACGGACAATATCTAATTATAAGCTATCACAAGGGATAAGGGAAATGGAAAAATGAAATGAAATGGAGAGTCCTGGTAAACTTCGAAACTTTGTTATTTATATAGTAGGTTAGAATTATATTGTTTATTTATTCAAAATATCATCCAAGTTATTTTTTTTTATCTTATGTCACACGCGTCTGAAATCATACAAGACTTTTTGAAATATTAAAACACTTTTAACAGCCCCTGTGTTTCCTGGCACGGAGAGAATGAAGGGTAAGGTACAGTGTATTGATTGATTGTATGTTGTTTAACGTCCCTCTCGAGAATTTTTCACTCATATGGAGACGCCACCATTTGTCGGTGGAGAACAATAAATTTTGTCTTATGCTCTGCACTTAGGGCCAATGGGCAGGGAGGGATCTTTTTCGTGCCAGAACGTCTGCGACACGAGATCTCGGTTTATACGGTCTCATATGACTGTTCTCCACGTCCCATAGTGGAATTCGAACCCGCGATGTAAGGATCAACTCCCTATCTCGCGACTCTAGAGCAGACGTTCTAACCATTGCGCCACGCGTAATGAACAGTATTAAATATTGTACGTAAATGCAGTTATTTACCTAATAGAGCCAGACCACAGAGTCCTATATTGCAGTAATCGTGATCACAACACTCGTTACAACTGCCAGAATGTGGTAGAGAGGGGTAGAGAGCTAGGGACGCACATACCTAAAGAGTACGAAACACATTAAATTGGATATATATGATAAGCAGTCAGAAAAAAAACAAAATCGGTTAAAGCTGCTAGAGTACTAGTGTGGTAGAGAAGGGTAGAGAACTAGGGAGGAGCATACCTAAAGAGTATCTAACACTTAATGATAGCTATACATGATAAGCAATCAGAAAAAAAAACAAAATTAATTAAAGCTGCCAGGATATGGTAAAAAGGTATTGAGACCTGGTAAAGAGCATGATAGGGGTAGGAACCGGGGGAGGTAGGTACATAGGTATAAAAAATGCTATGGAAAACATAGCTAATAATGCATTATTGATCATCAATAATAATGTCTCATTAACTCTCTTTTCTTGTAAAGGAAATATTTGGCGGCAGTTGAAAGTTCCCAGATTTAAAATATTTGACACTGTGCCCCCTCCCCCTTGAAATTGCTTCCAAAGGACAGGAGCATACTTAAAAAGTACCAAATAGCCAACATAGTATAATGCCTATGTTTAAAAAGCAATCAGAAACAAAAACACAAAGACATGTATATTAGAATCAAATAACCAATAATAATAATAATAATGGGTATATTTAAAAAGCAATCAGAAACAAAAAACAAATATCAAATTATTGGTAAGACTATTAAAACGAGGTAGAGAGGGGTACAGACGCTGCGAAGAGAAAACCCAAAAATTAACAGATAACCAACAGATTTATAGGTGTATCTACATTATAATTATCAGAAAGAATACAAAATTGATCAAAGCTGCCAGAATAAAGTAGAAAGGGGTATATATTTTGTTAAGAGCATAGATATTTAAATAACAAATAACCAACATATAAATAGGTCTTTTTAAAACGTATCCAAAAAATACAAATGTAGCATTAAATTATTGGTTAAAACCGTCAGAACGTGGTATAGAAGTGTATAAGCATGGTGAATAACATAACCTTAATGGTAAATATAAAACAAAAGATTAATAGGTTTATAAGAAAGAGATGTAAATATATATATTTAAAAAATCTATTTTTTGTTACAAAGCACCTTTGCATTTTTTGTTAATTAACATTCAAAAAACAGGAGGAAAAGTAGTGTAGTTGCCTTTTGTTGCTTTCAATTGTGTTTTGTGAATTAAAAGATACTTATCCTGTAAACACTCGAAAAATATTGTATTGCCCGTTTTTTTAAAGGAAGAATTCATTTATCCTGAAAAATATAGATAGGAATGAATCTTTTACCCGCTTGTTCTGGCATCCCAGGTGAAATCGAACTTCTCCTGTGGCGTGATCAGTCTTTTTCTCTGTAAAACATTCCTGAAAAAGAAAAGACCAAATACATTTCACTGAATGAAACTAACATTGTTTGCTTTCAGTCACCAACTGTACTCTATGTCAAATTGCACTTTTATGAACAAAATATAAAAGAAAAATATTGTATCAAAATTTATTTTATATAAAAAAGATATTCTTAATAGTCAAGGAAAGCTTGTAATTTGAGGTGTATTAATAAAATCAAAATATATATATAAAAATAAAAATCAACTGGATGAATTTTAGCCAAAATGTAAAGCATAAGCAATTTCTTTAAACAAGAAAATGAAACAATTTTTGTAATTTACTAGATATTTGTCTTTCTTTAAGGTCAAGATCTAGTAAATAACATGAAACTTATTTTTTGGTGCTAGATCCATTATGACGTCATAATCAATTTCAACTTTTGATTTCCCGTACTTTACGGCTTTAGTAGAATTATGTAGAAAATAGGGTATTTTCATGTCATTCAATTTGAAATCATATGAAAAGTAAACCGGATGCCTATATTAAATTTGAAATAGATTTAAAGAAGAGGCCATGAACATACCAATTACCGTTTTTTGAGAGAATGTAGGCAATCTGGATACATTTCCTTTATCGAATATGAAAAAAAACTCCCATATTCATGACTGATTTTCTTAATTTTTCATTGAAAATGACAGTTTAAAATACAGTTTTTCATCTTGTTTACCAGTGGACCCTCATTTATCCGAACGCTTTGGTTCCCAGTCAATTTCTCCGGATATGTGAAGCATATATTGAATCACCAGTTAAACAAGACAGAATAACATTTAAAAATTTCGTTCCGATAAAAAATCGTCCGGATACTGAAGCATCCGGATATCTGGCGTCCGGATATCTGAAGGTCCACAGGTCTACAAATTATGCCCCAAAACACCTTATTTGACCAAGTAATAGTTGTGAAGCGTCAATAAAGGAATTTATTTCTCAAGTTCGATAAATCTGTAGGCACCTTTCATTTACTAGATCTTGACGTTAGGCTATTGCATATTTTGGGTAATGTTTTTGCTATGTGTAAATTATTGATTTGTATGTTTAAATATTGACAAGTTTTATAATTAAATGATCAAAATTCTTGACAAAATGGCGAAATTTATGACATCATATTTCATTGATAAGTGGAAAAGTACGTCATTTTCAATAGATTTGCAGCCACAGAGGGTCAGTATGATATTAATTGTGTTGTCAACTTGATATTTTTAAAAGAAATTCACGGAGCCGAAAAGTCCTAAAGGTCAAGATATAATAAATGAAAGATGCCTACAGATTTATCAAATTTGAGAAGTAAATTCCTTGAATATATCTTTATAAGCTTAGTAGGTAGCTTGGTCAAAAATGTGTTTCGTAGCATAATGTGTATATATTAAACAAGATGAAAAAATGTCATACTTTAAATTGTCATTTTAAATGAAAAGTTAAGAAAACTAAATTTCAATATGGGACTTTTTTCAATTCCAGGCAAAGGAAATGTATACAGCTTGCCTAAACTCGTTCACAAAATGATACTCTACTTGTTTTTGGCATCTTCTTTAAAATGCTATCAAATTTGATATACACAGTATGTAATGGGATAACTTTTCAGATGATTTCAAATTAAATTCCAAGAAAATACATAATTTTCTACACAATTTAAATAGAGGCTTAAAGTACGAGAAATACAAAGTTGAAATTGATAATAATGTCATTATGGATCTTGCACTAAGAAGATGTCGTAATTCAAATAATAGATCTTGACCTTAAGGTCAAGATCTAGTTAAGGTAAGTCACTCGTCAGCTTTTTAGAAAAGTTCACGCAGAAGCTTTTACTTCAAAACTACTTATTAAAATTCAATTTTTATAACATTTTTAAATTCAACAATGTAAATTTTATAACATTCAATGAAAAAACTGCTCAAAAATCTACAAAGAAGCAAGATTTATGGGGGACTATTTCTTTTGGTGGAAGGATATTTAGCAGAAAATTCTGCAAATCTGCACATTTATGAAATTTAATGTAATGGAAATTTAGCCTCACATACTTTTACTCGGAGAATATTTCCCGTTTTTAATATTGCTAAAAATATTTAATATGGGTCTTAATTTATATTTTTAGACTAAGTTTTACACCTTCCCTCAACAAACTTTTCCAAAAAATGAAAATATATTAAAGAAGTCAAGATCAAATTTACACCATTTTTTGCCTGAAAATCACATATTTTGACAAATATTTCAAATTTAACATCACTGACCCCACCTTTTTCTTTCATAATTTTAAACTACTCGATACTTGTGACTGATCGGCACTTGAGTCGTAAAAAGTTTGATATAAGAAAATTTTTTATTGCCTATTAAGTTTTTTAATACCCCAAATATGTTATTTTTTAGTGCAAAAAGGTCACACAATAATTTACGCGCATTAATTTGCAAGATTTTTTTAATGATAAATATTATTCAAACTATTTTACGTAAAATAAGATTATATTTATTGCCATGCTTACAACTAATCAAATATTATAAGGGTTAAAGTAGTTAACCAAAGAGATGAAATTTAAGTGCAAAAAGGTTAACTTAAATGTACCGTAGATCAGTAGGATGCACACTGACCCCCTATTTTCTTTGCGATTTTGAGTTACACTTTATGAGTACTTATCCAAAATATACTTCTCAAAAAATCCTTGATATAACAAATTTCAGGAGTGACTTACCTTAATGTCTTTAGACTAACTTTTTAATGATAAATCCATTATGACATCATAATCACTCTCAACTTTCTTTCTCCCATACTTTACGGCTCCAATAGAATTATGCAGAAAATATACATGTAGTATTTTCATGGAATTCAATATGAAATCACATGAAAAGTAGTCCCAATACCTATATTGAATTTGACATTATTTTAAAGAAGAGGCCAAGAACATTCAAATTACGATTTTCTGAAAGATTGTAGGCTAACTGGATACATTTTCTCTGTCTGATATGGAAAAAAAACACACAGATATTTATGACTGGCATTCTACATTTTTCATTGGAAATGACAGTTTAAAATATGATTTTTTCATATTGTTTACCTACAGATTATGCCCCGAAACTCCTTAATTGACAAAGCTAAACTTATAAAGCATCATTCACGGAATTTATTTCTTAAATTTCATAAATTTGTAGGCACCTTTCATTTACTAGATCTTGACCTTAAGTGATCCTCTTAGTGTGTATCAGATATTACCTCGTCCTGGTTGCAGTACCCAGTAGTTCTACAGTCTAAAGGATCTAGTACACCCCCGCATTGGTAACATTTCTCTTCCGGTCTATCACCTGTAATGTGAGTAAAACTTCAAATTCAAACGGTCGACCACCTTATTTGAAAGTAAAACTGATAACAGTGCATGTACTCAAATTATTAAATGTAGTTGCTCAAATGCAACTACATGTACATAATTATACTACGGATTTGAAAAGGTTAGCCATTATATAGTTTAACATAAATTTCTTACCTATTCCACACAGGTGTGTATTACAGGGGATACTTCCGGCGTCAGTGTGGTTTCCACCTGAGCAACACTCGTAACAATTTGTAATGTCTCTTTTGCCCAATCCGGAATTTTTACCGAGAACGTTCAGAATATTACAAACCTTAAATAAGGCAAAAGCAGATCTATATTAAATCTTTTTTTACTGCTCTCAATAATTTTTCGAACATTTTGCTTAATTTATTTATTACGCTGATGTTGTATTACAATATTTTAAATCTGGACAAGTAAAGCGTATTCGTATATTGGTGTCAAATAAATTAAACTCATACGTTATTTTGTTCTATGATAACATAATCGACTATACGTTCTTGACTATTGTGTAAACAGTTATTATCAAAGTTCGAAAACTAAATATTACAGTCCAAGGTTACTTTTAATAGGAACGTTTTTATAATTCTTATTTACCTACTTGCATACTGATGCAACCTGCTTCGTAAACAATAGTCCCAACGTCTGTGGTTACTTTTCGTGTAAAGCATCCCTGAAATTAAACAAATCGAAACCACCTCTTTGAAATGCAGTCTGTGTCATCTTCATCGAAGTTGTTCACTTGCTATAATTTTAACTTTGATAACATGGAGGAATAAACACGGTGAGGCAGTTTGATTTTGAATACAATCATGAGTGAAATTTATTTCTTGCTCTCTCTCTCTCTCTCTCTCTCTCTCTCTCTCTCTCTCTCTCTCTCTCTCTCTCTCTCTCTCTCTCTCTCTCTCTCTCTCTCTCTCTCTCTGTAGCCGGATCCACACCACTAGATACTCACCTCTCCATTCCCACACTCCACTATATTGTTACAGTCTGTTAGGATGGGCACACCGCTACAGCTTAGACACCGAGGGCCGAGTGACACGGCTGTAAGGAAAAAATAAATTGTGTAACTAAGGTAAATAATGCTCAAGTATACATGACTGTTAAACAAAACATGCAGAACTCACAGAGGAGAGAATGTGTATATCTATTTATTATAGTGTCCGTATAGGGTCACTTGCTAAAGCTCAACATCGTGTTCAGAAAAACACGCCGTCGCGCTAACATACAACACGCCGTCGCGCTATCACAACATTGAACAACACGCTGTCACGCTAACGAACAACACGTCGTCACACTAATACGGAACGCGCTTTCACGCTAACATGAGTTCGCACAACTCGCTGTCTAGCTATTACACAACATGCTGTCGCGCTAACACGCTTTCAAGCAACAAGCCGTCGCGAGTGTGTTAGCGCGACGGCGTGTTGTGCAAACTCTTGTTAGCACGACAGTGTATTGTGCGAATTCGAGTTAGTGTGACATCGAGTGTGAAAGGTTGCAATGGCGAATTGTGTGTTAGCGTGACGGCATGTTTTGTGTTAGCGCGTAAACGTGTATTGCGAACTCATGTTAGAGTGGTAGCGTATTGTTCAATGTTGCGATGGCGTGTTGTGTGTCAGCGTGACGGCGTACGTGTTTTTCTGAAAAGGTTGTTGAGTTTTAGCAAATGGCCTTATCCGGACACCATATTTTACAGTCATGACTTTCACGTATACAAGGCTGTAAAGTAAATTGTCTTGTCGTTGCTTTAAGTTTAAAGTACAAATTGTTGTAATGCGAAAGCGAAAGTGGAAATCGAAAGCGAAAGAGAACATTATTGGTTGCAAAGCGTGAGAAAATGTGTACAGTGATGACTGTGAAGCGTAAGTGAATTAATGACTGCAAAACAAAGGCAAACAGGGCGGTAAAACCAAAGTGAACATTTATGGTTGTTAAGCAAAAGCGTACAGGGATGTAAAGTAAAAGTACTACAATCATCGCTGTAACGTAAAAGATTATTTCAGCAGTAACGCAAAAAATATGGTCAACAGGACTCTCAAAATAATAAGAAATACATGTACATGTATATCTGAAGTTATTAATGAAGATTAGCGTGTAGGAGGGAAAATATTTCAAATTTATTGATGGTTATGGGTAATAAACGTTTTTGTTGAAAAATCAGATTGTTTTTAGTAAAAGTAATTGTTATGTGAAAAGTGAAAAATTTAATGTTCCTCGTCAAGAAAATTTCACATATTGCCAGGAAATATGTCTTTGAGATCCGGGTTCTAATGTGATTTAGTAAAATACAACTCATAACTACACGGTACGGGTATAATTTGTGTTTTGTTACTACTGATTGATCTTCAATTTGCAGGAAATAGAATTTCATTTGGTATAACAAAGACCTAAAGATAATGTTACATTTTTGAAAAATGGTTATATCACATACACTTCTGCAAGTTGATAAATTCATGAAATTATACACTTTGAATTATCCTAATTTCTTGACTGCACTACAATTTCACGGGTCTTTATCTAAGGTGTATATTTGCCTTGACCTATATCGTACATGTATCCTCAATCCTTTTATCCTTCTATGTTTCTGTGAGTTGTCTATATGGACAAATTATTTTGTTTTTATACATTGAATATTAAAATAACATTATTATATTATATTTAGATTTACCAGTTTTTACTTATAATCAATGTGTTGAATAAATATTTCTTTAATTTTCATTCATTTCTTTTACTATTTTCATCAGTGCTTTCTTTAAAAAAAATTGTTAGAAATTTAGAATTAAACCAAAATAGATGTTATAATTTTTGTACATGATATAGTTATATACTTACTCGTACTTACCTCCTTCAAGAATGCAGAGAAAAACTAAAATGTTTAGCATTCTGTCTCTACAAAGAAGAATGCATATTTCAATTGTACAAGTAATATACCTTCTTTTTTTTTTTTTTTTTTTTAATTTCACAAAATAATGCATGTACAATAAAGTGCAAAAATAAATCAGCAATCATTTTATATATACAGTGCAATAAAGCAAAAATCTTAGGATTGCTGATTGAGAGGAAAGAAAGGAAAAGAAAGAGAGAGTGAGGAGAGAAGCTGCTTATTAACAAATAAGGGGGAAAAACCTTGTCAGTATAAACATTTATTTGATCTGAGACACAGTTGTTGATTCTAAAATCGAGCAAAATTGTCAGAGCCTTCTCATTATAAAAAGCCAGTAATATAACTTTAACACAGTCATATGACCTACAGTTGTACAAATCATATACTTTACGTGCAATTTTTTTTCAGGTTCCAATGTTTTTATTCAAAACAGATCTAAAAGGTTTATAAATTAAATTCTACTTTTTGTGTACAATTTTTTTTTTTCGTGAGGAAAATAAAATCCATTGTTTTCCGCAGAGATAATGCAATGGAAAAGACTTTTATAGTAATCTTACAGAAATGTTATAGAAATCTACAGAAATTGATTTTGAAATACTGAAAACATCAAATAACATCATTTGAAGAAAAAAATTTACATTAATCATTTGAATCTATGCCACAAAAACAAAAATGTGTGCCTATTTCTAACAAAATGAACATATACCGTTCGTTCATATGCACTCGCGATGTACTTTTTTATTTAAGCAAATTCGTCAGTAGTAATTACAAACATGTATCGCAGGCGTTGTAGAAATTAACTGAATTCTGTACGAATTCAGTTATTGATATCATTGTTTAGGATTGTCATTACATAAGAATCTTATCTATGGATTCATTGACAAAACTTTAATGCGCTTACGTCAATCATTTGCATCAATTTAACAATTCACAATAGCAGAGCTCAAAAGTTTACTGTTGTACTTATAAATCTTTTAGTATAGTACAATAACCTTGTCAGCAAATACAATTTATCGTTAAGATAAACGCTGACTGATGTTTTTCATTCTAATTGTTAGCGCATTATATAAAAAATGAATTGACGACGGTTTCTTCCGTTGTTTTATTCCCGAACATGACAAGGTACACACAGTAGGTGTGACCAGTCGGAAGGGGATGCTCACTCCTCCATGGCACCTGATCCCACCTCTGATGTTTAAACAGAGGTCCGTGTTTACTTTGTTACCGAATTTTATTGTTTATTGGACTTTTGAGCTCAAATATTGTTCGCTATCTCCAAATTTCATGCAAAATTCTAACATACGTAGCCTCGTCAATCATGATACCCTGTACATGCATTGTGCAGTTTTTCTTGAAAAGGAAAAATGTTTCAAAATGTCAGTGACAGACGTTTTCTTTGAACGCTATCGATAGTGAAGAAAAAGACAAAAGACCAAAATTACCATTATGTACTGTCAATTTTTGCCTCTGCTTCATTGTATTTCTTGATATTAGTATAAATGATACTAATCAATTGCATTTTTCATTCATTTATTTACACAATGCATAAAATAGAAAATACTCACCGTCACGTTTGTGAAATCCGGTCAGAATGTTTAGCCTTGATGACCAACAGTGTGTCAATCGTTAGTAAACTTCTTATCTCGTCACGAATACGAAGAGCATTTTAAATGACGATAATGAAAGCTTCAAGGAAAATAGAGAATGTTCGTATTAAAGAAATGTCCAATATTATATATTGTCTCTTTAGGATAGTTTTTAAGCCAATACTAGTTCTGGATAATTATTTTTTGCAAAGTATAGTTAAAATAATAGTTATGCTCTCATGACAATTTGATTTTATACTTGAATAGTACTTTTCAGCGCATAAATTGATGTGATTGTATAAGGTCACATGCGCTGTTTATCTGAGAAAGACCGTCTTATTTAAGATTGTAGAACAAACTGAAAATATTTTAATTCGATTAAGGGTCATTTTGTACATGTTGTCTTTAAATCTTTCAATTAGAATTCGAAAGTCATTCTTCTTAACCACACGCTACATTTTAGTAGGATTAGTCCATATGCATATCAAAATAGGTCATTTATTCGGAAAAGAAATGTCACGATAGTGTTGGTGTAAATATTTGTAATAAAGGAATATAGGCACGATAAAAAAAAAGGATAATGAAAACTGACCAGCACCACTCTTACGATAGAGGGCGTGATATAGTGACGTCACTCCTTGTCGTTCTGTTGCTAGGGGTGATTGCAAGTATCTGTTTAATATACATTCAGCTTGTGGGGGTTCAAAATGAACTCAGTGAATTGAAACACCTACGAGATCTTAATTTGAAGGTGAGTAAGAATAATATTTGTTTTCTTTCGGAAATTTTCTAATCCCTACTACGTTCATGGTACATATAACACTTCTTTTTCTTTAAGGAGTAAACCAAAAATTCTATTTTTACTTTGAGCACCTTAAGCAAAATCAAGATTGTTCAATTATTTAAAACATTCCTGTAGATGTAAGTTCAAATTTCTTTATATTTATTTTTCTGTGTTATTTTCTTAACATTGATAACATTTTGTACGGATATCATTTTTATTCCATTTCAAGAATGAATTTCATCGTAAGTCCAAGGAAGCCCGGGAAAGTCAAAAGAGGACCGATGTAGAAAACGCAGAGAAACGACAGACTGCCAGTTCTTTTGTACAAGAGCTACTGCTTGCCCAGGTATATTTGTGCTCCTCAAATATATAACAGTATTTTCAATTGACAAGACTGTAAAACATAAATGCTCATAGGGGTGAAACGATACGCCTCCTTCACGGTTCGATACGTATCGAAAAATTTGGTCTCGGTTCGGTTATTTTCGATACGATACATTTTGATAGAAGGAAACAAATTCAACTGTTGTTTTATCCTTCCTTTTATTTAATCTAGTCAAAGAATTTATGTGCAAAATGGATAGAATAAATCACCTTAATTGATTTGACTGTTAAAAATCATTTTACAAACTTTAAGTCCATAAAAATTTACGTTTTTGAACTAATTACACAGAGAAGCATGTTTATACCTTATGCCTAACCCGACTGAATGACGATCCCGACCGAAAAACGAACCGAACCGAAAGTAGAGATTTTGTACCGTGTATCGAACCGAGAAAAAATACCGCGGTGAACCGATACCGCGGTGAACCGTTTCACCCCTAAATGCTCATTAAATCTGTCAAAAGGCTACATGTAAGGCCTGTTGACTTTGTCAAGTAATTACTGTATTTATTAGTTCTCCTCTTCTTCTTATACGTAAATTGTCTCTATTTTTCCTTGTCTGGTTCAAGACTACCACTTTTTGTCTTATTGAAGTGCATGTGTAGTACTTTTCGTCTTGGTCTGGTATGTAATAGTACTTTTTCCTTTTTCTTTCGTAGTGTCCTAGTTATTTCCTCTTTGTCTGATTTGTGATTTTTCTCTTTAATGCCCTTTATTACTGATACGTGACTACTACTTTTCCTCTTTGACTGATACGTGAATAATATTTTCCCTCTTTGACTGAAACTTGACTAGTACCTTCCCTTTTTGACTGATATCTCACAAGTACTTTTCCTCTTTGACTGATGCATGACAAGTACTATTTCCTTTTTGGCTGATACTGATAAGTAGTTTTCTTCTTTGACGAATACCTGGCAAGTACTTTTTTCTCATAGGCTGATGCGTGACTAGTACGTTTCCCTCTTTGACTGATACGTGAGAAGTACTTTTTTCTCTTTAGCTGATATGTGACTAGTACATTTCTTCTTTGACTTATACGAGACTAGTTCTTTTTCCTCTTTGATTGGTACGTGAGAAGTATTTTTTTCTCTTTATCTGATATGTGACTGGTACTTTTCTTCTTTGACTTATACGTGACTAGTTCTTTTTCCTCTTTGATTCATACGTGAGAAGTACTTTTTTCTCTTTAGCTGATATGTGACTAGTACTTTTCTCCTTTGACTTATATGTGACTAGTACTTTTTTCTCTTTGATTGATACGTGAGAAGTACTTTTTTTCTCTTTAGCTGAAATGTGACTAATACTTTTCTTCTTTGACTTATATGTGACCAGTTCTTTTTCCTCTTAGATTGATACGTGAGAAGTACTTTTTCTCCTTAGCTGATATGTGACTAATATTTTTCCTCTTTGTTAGGCTCACATTCTGGAATCACACTGTGCAAACGACAGTCGGCTGTGCATGAGAGGTAAATTATTCCTTGTTTACATTTATCAAAGTACATATTTTCACTGTACATGTGTAACCACGTGTTTTAAAATTTTTTTTATGCTTTTCATTTTATGAAATTCTGACAAATTTTTTGATACTGTCAATTATGCAATGCACAATTTTATTCTCGTTATAAAACGTTTTTCTCTTTTTAATTGAACATCTCAATATATATAACAAACAACTCTGAAACATTTTACCTACATCTATTTCTTTGCTGCACCTAGGTCCAAAGGGAGAGAAGGGTGATCCGGGTCTTTCAGCCAAACCTCTGACTGTACCAACGCCAGTAACTGGCCAGTGCGCATGCTTAGGTATAGGAGAAGAAGTGAAAGTAGGAATAAGCGGGGGAAAGATTTAACTTGTATATTGTTTGTTTTTCTTTAAACATAGTCTGTCCTCTGGTCTTCTAACTTCAATTTTACGAATGTTTCATGTTATCGAGGTCTCTGTCATCAGAAGATGTAATCATTTCATGTCTCCAACGATTAGTTGTGTCTTTTCGTAGTTAATATCAATAATCAAAATTTTTCTTTATACACTTACACATGTAATCTAAATATTAAAAAATTGATGCTATTGTCTAGCTTAGATAGTTGCACACATTATTCAAATGAAAACATGCACATTTAAGTGACAGCAACTATTTCGGTTCGCAAAAATGTAAAAAGAACTTTAAATAAATTATCGAAGCAAACCATAAAGTTGAAATTGTCGCATCTAATTAAATACATTAATATTCACAAGTCATCTCACTTATCAACAATTTTCAGATGGCATGCTCAATCACTAATGATTAAAAAAAATACTCACGGGCAAAATGAGAAATAATAACAGGGGGGATTGTCTCCTTATATTGTACCTTTTTCCGTTTGTATCATTTACATTCTTTATTTCAATTTTTGTTTAAAAAGATGAGCCAAAAATAGGACAACTTTTGAATACTGTAGCAAAAGCTGGAGATGACGTAGACATCACGTGTTCAGTAACCGGAAACCCAACTCCATATGTTAAATGGATCAAAAATGGCGTTACTATTTCAACAAAAAGTGTTCTTCATTTAACAAATGTAAACCAAGCGACATCAGGGAATTATACATGTGTGGCACAAAACATAATTGGAACACGCTCGAAAACTATTGTTCTAAATATTCAATAAAGTACTTAACTATGCCGATGTTTATAATTTTTTTTTTCAAATACATTGCAAATTGACTAGCTATATCGTTTTCATAATATTGAAAATTATTATTTAAATATTGCATGTAGTTGAGTGTAACATTGAAAATTTTCACATCAAGAAAACCGCAGCCGAGGTTGACAATGGTTTTCGAAGGGTTAAAATTTACAGTGTTACACTCAACTACATGCAATATTTATTTTTATTAATTTATTACATTATACAGAATGTTTCATATAAATACAAGTGAACCGTGCGCGCATAAAATCTGCGCAGTCGCTGATTTTTGGAATATTACCCGTCGTCAAGCAATGTTGACTGTTGCTATGCTGGAGGGCTTTATTCAGCGGGTAATAGTATTTTTTAACGAATGTTTCTCCACCAATCAGATTCAACTAATTTACATGAAAGTATAATATCAATATTACCCAACTCCAACTCCAAGAATTTATGCGCGCACGGTTCACTTGTATTTGTATGAAACATTCAGTATAATGTAATAAATAATAATATATATTATGCAAGGTACATTTTTTATTTTCTTTATTTGTCTAACTGAACTTATAATAATTGAAAATATAAGGATTTCTCTATGCATTTCGATATTTTGAATAATTTGTGAATTATGTGTTAATATAACGAACAGTTTTCAAACTCAATAATTCATTAAACAATACAAAATTGGAGCATAGCAAACACGGACCTTTAAAATATGTTGCCAATGGTATAAGCAGACCGGTCACACCCTTTGTGTGCTCCTTGTCATGATCGGGAACCTATAGCATTTTTCTAGAAGACGGGCAAAGATCCTGGAGCCTTACTTTCTTGTCTTTCTAAAAGTGAATCTTGGATCCGCGCCCTGCACAAATAATCTAGATGTCTCAGAATTTGGATCCACGCCTTTTATCTTCACGTTGAATTATGCGATTGACCAGCTCTGCGTTATCTTTATGATCAAACAAAGGAATCGCACCTTGTGAACTAGGAACAAAAGTAAGTGTTTCTATTTTTCAACCATACCAACTTTTTAATTTTGATTAATGCTTGTTTATTTGTTTAATACTTGTTCAAGAATCTTAAAAAAATCTTAATGTATCATTTAAAAACCTGACCGATTTTTCCGTTGATGGAATAGGGCGTCTTTTGTGTACTGTTAATTATGTTCCCCAAACGAAGTTGGGGAACATATTGTTTTTACTCTGTTTCTTATTATTATTATTCTTATTATTATTTTTCTTTGAAAATTTTTGCGAGTAATCTTGTAAACTACACATCCGAGGTGAAACCTTTTTAGGGTAATTAGGCATGTTATGTAGATTTGCGGAATCAAGGTCATTGTGCGCGCACGTGCTTGCAAGAGCGCGCACGTGCAAAACTTAAAATGACCAATATATAATGGATATAACCGTAACTTCTCTATTTTGTGACGAAATGTTTTGAAACTTATAATTAAGAATATATTAGTAGAATGCACAAGATGATTTTTCAAAATAGTATCGCACGCGCATGCATTTTGGCTGAAACTAAAGTCTCAATATCTTTTTTGTTTTTTGATAAAATCATTTGAAATTTTGAACATAGTCGTACATTAGGGAGATCTACAGCCTGTAATATAAGATTTTTCATGAAAGCATGTGCATGCACATGTGCTTGCAAGAGCTCGCACGTGCAACACGAGAAATGTCCAATATAATTGATACAGACATAACTATTAAAATTATTGATGAAATGCTTTGAAACTCATTTTATAAGTATATATTAGTAGTATGCACAAGATGACATGGTCAAAATAGCAAGATCGCACGCGCATTAACGTGTGCTTCGCTCTGATTGGCTGAAACTAAAGTCTCAATATCTTTCTTGTTTCTTGTCATAATCCTTTGAAATTTTGAAGATAGACCTACATTATGAAGATCTACAGCATGATGTATAAGAATTTTCATGAAAGCATGCGCATACCTGCGTGCTGCAATCTGATTGGCTGAAACTTTAAATGGCTATATTTACTTTGTTTTTTGACAAAATGCTTTGAAATTTAAAACATTGTCATGCATTAGGATATCCTACAATATGATATAGAAATAAATCATAAATCACGCGCATGCATGTGTTAAATTTAAACTTGAAATGGCTATTCCCTTGTTTTTCAACCAAACAGGATGGGATTTAGAATATAGATAGATGTAATTTCAAATTTATCATGCACTTGCACGCACGTGCGTGCAGAACAAAATGAAAAATACACTTGAAAGAATGATTTTTCATACTTTTGGACTGAATGCTTTAATATATTGTATATTAAAAAATGTAGATAGTGTAGACAAGATGATATGATCATAACGGACATGTATTCACATGCGCACGGGTGCAATGCTAAAATTTGAATATAATTTTTTTAACGTTGTTAAAGTCAAAATGCACAGAGTTTGTCTTATTTAATGAAGCTTACAGGGAATATGGCACCAAAAAGGAGTTGGGGAGCGTTTGGGGAACATCTGTAACGGTCCCCGTTACAATTAGCACTAGTTAAGTAATGTTTTACCTACTGATAACTCAAAGTACGCTGCAGTTCTATCGATTCTTATTTACATATCTCCAAAATCAATTTCTATAATATTTTCTAAATATATTTTTCAACAATTTGTTTGGCCTTTTGCAAAACACTGTGGATGTTTGTATAAAGTGCACATAAACACAAAGTGCATTTGCACTGATAGAAATGTATTCTATCCTAGAGAGTCTAAAATGAATTTGAAATTGTAAAAGAGAGCAAGTTTTTTTCTCTCATGTTTTATTATTGATCGCATTTAAATAATACTTTCCAATTATTTATAAAGTCATTTGTATCAAACAAAAATATTTAATCGAAACACTTGCAAACATGTTACAAAATCCCCAGTCTTGAAAAACTACCACACTCTGCCTGAAAAGGACTTTAATAATATTGTCGGTAAATGATTAATGTCAATTCTTACTTGTATTAGCTCCCGTTGAAAGGTAGTTAAGTACCAGGGTTCAGTAATATGAATAAAATATATGTCGAATTATTGGATATCATTCTTAAGGTGGCAGAAAACAAAAATACCCGCAGAGAGCGACAAAAATTAAAGGATTTTACAAACGCTTGAATCTGTTCTCTGCTTTATCCTTCCGAATTTTCTCAAGTGAGTTGGTGATCATGATATTCCGAAGGCCTATAAAATTAATAAAAAGGAATTTTGTTTTTAAGAGTTCTACTTCCTATTTTTTCAGACATGTTTATTGCTACAGCCTTTACTTTGCTGTTGACATCAGGTTGAGTATATTTTCCATTATAACACCCCACCCCCTCGGTCAATAAAAAAAATGTTTATATCTATTGAACCATAATGATCTCGCAAGTAATCTTCTGCAGGTCATTAAAATTTCCGTTTTATTATTGAAAAATTTCCTTCGTGTAGTTTGCATTTATTTATTTTGTATATTTTCCAACGTAAAGAATGAAAATCATTTCTTTACATTTAGAAAATACAAAAAAAAAACATGGCTTTACCAGTAATTGGAAATGTATGGTTATAACAATACTGATTTTACTTTTACCTTGTAATGTCGTAAATAATAACCTTTAATCTGCATAATGGTTTAATGTCATAACAATTTCATATTTGCCATCCCTTTTGATCAGATATAACCGTATTCTACTATATTTGATTGCAGTTGCATTCGTCTCCTCTAAACAGCTCTGCTTTAGCTGTAATGGAGTACCAGATGAAGCTGATTGCAGTACCATTACAACCTGTAGCGATAGCGAGGTCAGTCAATTTCTTCGATGTGAAGCCCAGCCGCCTACTCAAAATTATTTCTTTTTAATTATATACAGCTAAAGTTCTGTATGTCGAATACTGATTAGCTAGCTAGAATACCAGGAATAAGCCGAAGTGAATTTTCAATATTAAACAGTAAACTAAAAGTTCGGTATATCGAATACTGAACGCTAGAATACCATGAAAGAGTTGAAGTGAATTCAATGTCATAATTAGTCCTTTATTAATAAAGTATTTTATCCTGGACATTTCGGATTCTCGAATAATTCGGAGATCTTTTTCGGTGCCATTGAGTTCGAAATACCGAGATTTAAATTTTAAAATCATATGATTTTTCATTATTTAATTTGTTTCAGGCATGTTTTGTCAGAAAATATACACAGCTGAATGGTAAACCAATGTTTGAGTCAGGATGCTTGAGCAGAAGTGTAAGAGAAATCTTTTTTTTCTTTACCACTTACACTTTTTTTCATACACCTTAATGCAAATGGCGTCAGGAAAGCTTATTTGTGTGCTTCTGAATAATTTTTGGGGTTTTGCCTTTGCCAAAAAATCTGTACAATATTTCTGCATTTTTATATATGCACTATCAAATCTGATTTCTTTGTTTGACCATCAAAGTTACATTGAAGATGAAAGAAAATATTTTTGATTTTATTTATTTTATGTATTTTTTAAAGAGCTGTAAGATAATTCATGTAGTGTCGGGTATCGGGAAGAAGCGAGAAACTGGGGTTACTAATTGTTACGAGTGCTGTGAATCAGGAAATGTAACATATCCCTGCAACGACAATTTATGCGGAAAACCTAGTGAGTTTCGGATTAAACACTTGATTTCCGGTTAACATTATTTTTGCTATTTTTTTATTCAAAACGAAAAAAGTTTACACATGTAATTAATTTCATATTCAGTTGCCACAGAGACTAGATGTTACTCCTGTTCCGACACAGCCCAGCCCGAAAACTGCGAAAATATTATTGCCTGTGATGTAGATTCAGTGAGTATTGATTTTTTTTTTTTGGTTCAAATTTAATGTAGTCGATTCAAAATCTCAAAACATGGAATTGTCTTCAATCACAAGAATCAGAAAATTAAAGCATTTGAGATTGCATATGAAAACAGGATGTGTTTGTGAAACACTATGCGCTGGCGGCAACAAAGTTCGAAAAAGCTATTTTTTAGCATAAAGGTCACAGTCAAGGTAACGAGGTCATTAATCTTGGTGTCATTTGAACGAGATTTATTATATATGGAGTATGCATACCAAATATGAAGTCTCTATCTCTCACGGATCAAAGGTTATAGTGAAGGTTAAAGTTGACAATAGACAAACAGCTAAACATACAAACAGACAAAAATGTTAATATACGCCACGATCTACATTACTTATACAAAAATATTGACACCTATTTATATGTATGATTAGTTGTAGTATAACAGTTTTGTTAAAAATGTGCAATAGTTAAACTATTTTATACGGACAGTGAGTAGTGAAATTTTAATAATATGAAAAATATATTTGGTTCCAAAGTTATATCCCGACGAAGCTGATTGTACACGTACCACCACTTATTGTCGCATTGTCAAACGACCTGGATGGACATAGGTGTCGGAACCGTGGGGGGGGCGCTTAGCCCCAACCCCCCCCCCTTTTTTTCTCAAAGATAGATATAATATAAGCATTAAAAATTGGGGCCTACCTTTTTTCGTTGGTTTAGTCCCCCCACTTTCAATTTGCCACCCCACTTTCAATTGGCTTCCGACGCATATGGTGAATATTAGACTTTAAGTACTTGGACACAGATTTGAAGTTAATATTTTCTCTATAATATTACGGCTTATATATTCTAATAGCATTTCACACAAAAATTAATTAAAAATCTTATTTCATTTAAAAGTTATTAAAATTTCAAATTTTTTGGCGGATTTGATTGACACATCCTTGTTCTTTCACAAAGTTTAATTTTATTCTTAATACTTAGGAAAAGTGGCAATCTTGTTGTGTATAAATGAAAAATATTAATACTATAATCCAGAAAATTCAGAGTAGACATGTTCGAAAGCAAAACAAACACAAAATATATTGTCAGTCCGTGCAGTTGTGGTGAGCAGACTTTGACGATTGAACGCACCCGGTGAATCGTAAACATCAACAGTAACAGAGCTCGTGCCCTGTTTACAAAAACTGGTACATAACACGAGTGTGATCGATTTGCTAAACTCTGTACACAACACTTAGCTCGGAATGACGATACTTTTGAAGGAGTTTTGCTTTCTAACATTTCTACTCTGAATAAAATTATTTTTCTGGATTAAAGTTTTAATATTTCTCATTAATGCACAACAAGATTGCCACTTTTCCTAAGGATTAAGAATAAGTCAAAATATGTTGTCAATACCCGCCAAAAAATATGAAGTTTTAATAACTTTTAAATGAAATAAGATTTTTAATTAATTTTTATGTGAAATGCTATCAAAATATATACTTCGTGATATTATATAGAAATATTAACTTCAAATCTGTGTCCAAGTACCTTTAACGTATCTTTACGTCAAAAACTGTCAAAAGCTTTTCCGGTTAAACTGTATCCCTCAAAGAATTTTTTTTGCCAAAACCAAAACATTGTATCCCTACCGATAAGATACTTATGATCCGTACATTTAGTTGGTTTTACGGTGTGACTGTTGGTGCGAATGTAATTATTAAAAGTACTACAAAAAACTTTTACAGCTAACACTAAATATAGTATTTTGACCCGCCTCTTTAAATTTTTAACTGCACGAGATACAATTTCATAGATTGTGACGTCACATAGCATCATATGAAAGTTATATTTCCGTAATGGAGTTTATAAATAGGCCTATAGTGCATTTTTTTAACAAAGGATATTTTGGAGAAGATGAATTTTAAGCTCTCTACAAGAACTAAGTATTCTCGAAAACTACGGGGCTGTTAATATATTCGCCATTTTCACATGGAATTTTGGTAACGAAGAAATTCTCGGAAGGTTTCACAGAAAAAAAAATTGCTTGACGGATATACAGATTTAGTTCGAATATCCTCTGTTATTACACGGAAGTTTATTGAGCTCGCCTCGCTCCAATCGTTATTAATCATCGCGATGGCTAAAGTGCAAACTTGATATTGACATCCTACAGTTATAAGGCACTTCTTAGAATTATTATTAAAATTTTCTAAGGGGTTCATAAGAAGTCGATTAAAATTTGATCCTAGTTGTTCGGTTTGTCTCTAAACGCTGCTTTTGATATCGTCCCCTTACTATGAAAAGAAGGCAATTTTTCACCTATAATAAATATAGTTTAAGAACAGATGATACAAACATTTTTTTTTCTTTTGGGGAGACTAATATCATTATCAGTAAATATCAGTAAAAATCAGCCTATGTGATTTTTTTTTTAATAATTTTTACCATTTTGGGTTTCCTCATAAAATGTACCTGGCTTGGTATATTTTTTTAAGGTTTATATTACATTTTTAGCACTATGCTAACATATTCTGAAATTTGTTTTCATCTGTAAACCTTTACTAAGTATGGTTTGTCCCTATTTGTTACTTTATTGAAGTATTAACTAATATTTTCGAAGTCTATTTCATTTTCCGAGACTAAGGGGAAAACAATTCAAAGAATAATCCACTTTTCTAAGCCTATGAGGTGATATGAAGTCTCCTTCAAAGAAAAAAAAATGTTTGTATCATCTGTCCTTAAGAGAAACTAGAAGGCGAATTCCTATAAAAATTCCTAAGTGTTTGGAAAAGTGATTTGGATATTTTTTTTTCAATTACAGATGTGTTACACGGGAACATACAGACATCCGCTAAGTCATGAGATCCGCTATAATATGGGCTGTCAACGGAAAGATGTAAGTGTACATGTTACAAGAGCATGAGCGGAGCATCTCCTCGCAAAGAACATATATCAATAAATCAAGACAGAATCGATATCAAACTGAATGCAATTTCTGTTACTTCTGTTTCACAAAAGGACAAATAACACACACCACACATAAACAAGTGCGTTACTATTATCCCCTCCAAATTTGTGAGGGGATAAAAAAAAAAACTAACTTTGCAGTAGAGCTGTAGAAAACCTAGAAAACAGTCAGAATGTCAAAGGTGAAGCTATATATTGTATACTTCTGTATTATAATATTATATCGCCTATTCCATCGCCTAGGGAATACCCCCTAAAATAACCTTAACCCTGTAATACTGCAAGTAGGGAGATATCACGCATTGTCTACCTGCACGTGGTATATTATCGACTAATTATAATGGTTATTTATTATTTTTAACGGATTTAGAAAAAATACTGGTATACAGTCATACAAAAAATCTAGAATTTATGACTATTTATTTATGAGACTAGAATGTGTTTGCTCGTAAACTGGTTTTAAATATTAATTTTATTTAGAGCTTAAAAGTTAGTCATCTTTGCAGACTTGTAGTGCACTGATGAATTTATGGCATAGTTATCAGACGTCATCACATACGTCATCACACGGGACAGACACGGTGACCCTGAACCACTGTAACGACTGTTGTAGCGGGGACTTCTGTAATCTGGGACTATGTGACATCCCAAAACGAGGTAAGAAAGCGACGACTTCACGTGACATGCCAAAACGAGGTAAGAAAGCGATGACTTCACGTGACATCCCAAAACGAGGCAAGAAAGTGATGACTTCACGTGACATCCCAAAACGAGGCAAGAAAGCGATGACGTCTGTAACATTTGACTATGTGACATCCCAAAACCAGAAGACTCTGTCGAGACTGTAGCTCTACTGGTTTGTACTGATCAAAAACCGATGCACAGAATTATGTATGTTAGTGTAGTCTACTTGTGTGATAAGTTATATTGAAATCAGACCAAAACTGTAGAAGGAGCATTTTAAAGGAATTTCACAGCTTTTGACCAGCCGTTCATTGAAATTGAAAACCATGACTATTATGTAAACTAGTTTACTTGTGTGCCAAGTGATAATGAAATCCCAAAATATGAGTATTTTTAGTAACCATTGCAACACTGCTCATCGAAATCAAAAACCGACTAATGTGTCTACTTGTGTGCCAAGTTATATGAAATAAGACCAAAACTGTAGAAGCAGAAGCGGTTTAAAGGAATTTCTCAGAAAATTCTATTTTTAGTAACCATGGCAACACCGTTCATCGAAATCAAAAAGGATCTACTTGTGTGCCAAGTTATATTGAAATACTAAAATTGTAGGTTAGCGTTTTGAAAAAACATACCGGACGGACGCCGGACGTCGCATAAGCTCTTCTGGTCTCTGACCAGTAGAGCTAACGAGGTAAATATTGATATCGACTAGATTGGTAGAATAACTAAAGGAGCTTGCAGCTGAAGCCTATAGCATCAATGTAACTTCCCAATATGAGTATTAAGCGATAATTTCTACTGATAAATACTAGATTGGTAGAAAAACTCTGAAGGATCTTGCTTAGAATTCTTCAACATATATTTGACATCCACAAAAAAGATCAGTATGCAAACACTATTGCTGAAGGAAACAAGATGACTAACAATATGATTTTGACCATGATAAAGAATTTTGCAACATCGGGCTTTGATACACCCTTGAACGATAAAAGTATGCAATCGGTGTTATTGATGACGAGGTATGTGTGCGATGACTTCACCTGATGAGGACAAAGAAAATTTCATTGAGGATTTTGAAGATGAAAGAATATGTTACAATATCGAACCTTGTGACACGGAGATATGTAGCTGCAGATCTGTAGCGTTATGGTTTTATGATATTTGTCTTTTGTGACATGGAAATATGATATACGTATACGATGACAACTTTTTGATAACTTGATTAAAATTAAGTTGAAAATTCACTTCAAGCGAGTTTATGAGGATTTTGACATATTGGATAAGATGTGAGAGGGAGTTAGTTGATTGACCAATGCTAGAAAGTGGAGAAACAAAAGTGAGCAAAAAATATTGCGCCGTAAATTGCACCCACTACGGGATCTGTAGCGTTATGGTCAAAGACAAATATATTAAAAACGCAGTGACTGACAACATTTTAATTGATGATGAGTTGATGATTATGTTAATGTTGATGATTACGATGAAGATGATGATAATAATGAGAAATTGATGAAAACTATTATAAAACTTCTCAATATTTCGTTTTGAAAAAAGGCATAATTAAGTTATTCGAATTTTAAAAATAATGTTTGATTGCCCTCTACCGACTTAGGATGGAAAAATTGCGTCAATAGATAGGTGGGACTTTGTTCTTGCAGAAAAATTTTCAACACCACTGCTATCTTTTTAATAATCTATTTTCGGAATGCATAAAACGTATTGTTTCCTGGAGGTTAAAAGAAAGCCTCGAGTCATGGGGTCTTTACAAAGTTGGTCGGTAGAGGGCAACCAAACACTTTTGAAGATGCTCATCTAAAATGATCGATATTATATTCACTGCCGCTTTCACCACGTTTTTTGTTCGTTTGTCTATGAGTTAAGCCCAAAGCAATTTTGATTTAAAACAACATGGCTTGTTATGAGCATATTTTTGTCCTTAGTTAAGCCAATATTCACGAGCACGCCTCAGAACAGCACGCTCAGGCCTGAGTTTGAGGGAGTTATACTTGTCTGTAGGACACAGCCGTCCTCCAACGCTACAATGCACTGGGCATTTAAAGGGGTAGGTATTAGTCAATTAAAACAAAATGCATATGAGCAGTGGCTTTTTTTTCTATTAATTAATTGCATTTAAGGTATTAAAGATCATAAATAGAGACTTCTAATAGCACCATCGGTCTAACAACCAAACAGAAATAAACTAGACGGTAAAACATATATAGAATGTTAAATAATTCCATGGTTATTGATTCAGCTGATACACGAGCTCAGAGGAGAGTTTTTGCTTGTTGTCCTGGCTGTCTGTAACGATTTCTGTTTCCTGATAACTTTACACTAACATCATTTTTACATCTATCTGTCTCTGTTAATATTTCTTTTTTGGTAAACCAGACTTTTGTTTCGTTGAGATTCAAACTTGTGTTTTTAGTTTTTACCGGTAGATCTGATAGCGGTACTAAAATGTTTTGTTTTTTTTTTTCACTGAAGCTTTCAGGTGGCACAACACTGTCTAGTCAAGCGCATATAACAACTGCGCCAAACAATATTAATGTGACCATTTTCCCGGTCCACCAATCAGATTTAGGGGAGTATATTTGTGTGGCAACGAATTCTGTAGGAACCTCAACAACTTCAGCTTTCCTGTCCTCCAAATAAAAATGTAAGTTATAGTAGGATTTTAAAAGTTCAAAATATTTCAGGAACAAATCAGTATGTTGAAATTTAACATGTTAATTTTTGTTTGATCATATGATCATGTTTTCTATTTAATTTAAATTTGAGATGGAAAGTGATTTTAGATCTTAAATTAGACAAAATGAAATGATGTTTACCAAGAATAGAGATATTTTAGAGTTTTAATATTTCTTAAACGAAAACATTGATTTCAAGAATTATATCTGATTCTGTGTTCAAAATCCGTCTCTTTTGTAGACATGCTGAGATATTATGACCATTCAACCAGCTGTACATTTTTCCAAATAAAGATGATACATTATCATTGTTATAAATCAATTCTCTCATTTCACATTTAATTCGCTTAAAGAAGATGGGCGAACAAGACGAGAAAAATGCATATCGTTTGACTTAATGGACTGAATTTCGTATTTTACAGTTGAACATTTGGAATGGATAAGTTCTCTTCATTTTGACCTTTGGTTTTGTCTTCAGAAGCACTCCACAATTTAAATATGAGTTTTTGCCTTTTTTCCACAGTCCCTCTCCGTGTTTCATTTGGTTTTTCTTGTCTTTTTCTTCCTTTCGGTGTCCAAGTTAATAACTATATGTAATGCTTGTAATTTTTTTAATCAAATTTTATTCATACATGCTAGTTCTCTTACTATTTCATCTGTGATTTGCAATTTTCAATACCAGTTTTCTTTTTAGACACATTTGGAGTAATTTTTTTTAATCAAACTTTGAACATTTTACAAAATTCAACGAAGTGGCTATACATCGAACAACACATATACATTACGATTGACTTGAAAATGTTGAATTTGATCCTTCCATAAAAATTAACTGTAGGTTACTATATTTTACTAAAGTTAACTATAGTTATAACTTTGATATTTTGATTCACTTTGAAACTTTACTCTAGAATTTTTTTTTTGAAGATATGGAGCCTTAATTTTTTTTTTATAACATACCAAAGATATAATATTGAAAATGTAAATATACAACAAAAAAGTTATTGAAATAGTAATAGCAGAAAATTATTTGTAGGAATTTAAAAATATAAATTATATAAAATCTGAAATTCATAGTAAATATACTTTGATTTAATGTTGTAAAACTTTGATTTACTGCAGATGACATTAGTACTTTTTGTAAGGGTTTCTGGAACTATCTCCCTGTCTGTGCCTTTGTCTAGAACTCAATCACATGTGCACCTGACCAAGATAGACAAAGTTGAATTTACTCAAACTCTTTATTTTTATTTCTCGGTTATTGATATTGTTGAATACTTTTGATTTAGCAATGGATGATTAAGCCCGTTGACCCAGATATCGTACGTCTTCATTTTTTTAATATCTTTCTTTGGTTATATATGGCTAAACATTAGTTATGTGGTATGCCTATGGCTTGACAATTGAAAATAATAAATTGAGAAATCTAATCTCAATGATAACACAGTCTTATTTGATGACCCAAGTCCTTATTATTTTCTTTTGAATATTTAACAGGAATTAATTCACTTTTTTCTCCACAAATCACTCATATAAAATTTAATAAATAATTATGATTTCATTCCAATGAAATTCTACATGACTGTATAAAGATGATTGCTGCGCCGGGCCATTTCTAGGTTGATGACTGTATTCAATCGTTTTATATCTTTATTAATCGTAATATGGCCACTAAAAGTGTCTTGGGTACTTCTTAATTTAATGCCCTTATTGACTTAGCAAACAATTAGTTTGACTTCAATTTAGTATCTCCTGAATAATCCTTGATAATCGATGGAAAAGTGCATGTTCATACAAAACATAATAAAGTGCTTTAATTCTTCTTTAAAGAAATCTTCATGGATAAATCTGCATGACTGAATTTTTATACGTTCAGAATGATGAATATAGCACAGAATCAATTAGCGATCTTTTAGACGTATAAAAAACAATTCATCAAGGTTTGTTTAAAGCTTGTGACATCAGCTATTAAATTATGATCTTTTAAACATTCCCACTGCCAAGATCGTGCCATTGTTTCCGGATCCGCTTAAGACCGATTAAAACAATTTGAATTTGCTCTGCATTGATTGAATTTTATTAATCGTAAATTTTGTGCCATCAGGTGAAGCCCTACTCGATCATATTGTCATTGTTTTCTTTTGTGCAGTCAGAATTATGATCCCGATGGCATAAACTAACATTGTAAGTTGACAAACAAGACGTATATTGGTTTTGAATAGGCTAATTGCCTTCTCTTCAATTAACACTCACTACCACGCAATCATGAACTAAAATGAATGATAGATTACATGAAGGTTTGTATACTTTGCAAAGGTTGACATTCTGTCATCTACTAAATTAAAATTTGATTTCTATACAATCATATTCTTTATTTTCTCATTTCTTTGTTTGAGGGAATGCAAATCTTCCCCATGTGCTAACAAAGGCACGATTTGATTTTAAATTCTTTTTTAACAGAACGTTCGTTCTTATTCTTATTTTTGAATTAATAAAAAAAACAGCACTGAGGAACGAGGCTCTGTCGTTAATTTCCTTTCTTTAAAATTTAGATATGCCCACCTGACCTCTCCACGTGTCAAGGTATGCTAGGCCTCTGCACCTCCCATTTACAAAAAAATAACACCACAATATTGCGTGTTTCTTTGTGGGTGAGTGAGTAAATCCTATTCGAACATTAACGGAATTTCCATCGTGATCGAATTCCATTGCTGCCTTGTTTTATAGATGTAGGTATGCTCTTTTGCAAGAGGGATGTACCTCTTTGTCTTACCCTTATTTTACTCTATATTCCTATGGTTTAAGGCCTTACCTACTTATTAACAGTTTTCCAGTTGTAAGCTCCGAATATATGAGTTAATAAGGACCTCCACAAAGAGAGTCGGGATCTGAAGCCATGGACTAGCAAGCATTTCTTTTTGATCTGTAATAACTGCCTAGAATTTCAAAGAGTTACTTTATAAATTTCTATTTTCAATTATACTATTGCAAGAGCATTCGTAAACCAATCACCAATTTATAATATAGACATTGAAGTATAAAATTATTTATTTATAAAGAGCACGTCCGTATGGTTATATGGTTTTTAATACACTTGCAGTGAGATAAGTTAAACCAACTTTTTGATTATTTCTTAACGCAATTTCACTTTTTCACAAATACAAGATATATATAGTGCTGGTTGCAAAACGAGCACAATTCAAAATCTAAACTGCAAACGATCATAATTTTAAATCTCTTCTGGTTTTTACATTCAAAAAAGGGCTAGATTCAGCCGTTGTCTTTTCACCCCATTAGCTTGTCTTTTTACCCCATTATAATTTTTTTTTTGAATACATATTTTAAGATAAACGCACGGTAAAGGTTTTGTCTCCTGACGCACGGTAGGAATTACATTAAGATGACGTTACTTCTCGGCACGCATTTTAGCATATTATCCGCATACTTTAATTTTTATTCTCCTATGTGCATCTTTTTTAATAACCATTACTGCCATTTTGCTATTTACTGTCATGTTTTCAGCTGTGATTATAAATAAATTTGAACTAAATTGTTGAGTTTTTTATTTCTTATTTCATTCCTTTTTTTCGTTACCTTACAATCCTTATACTGTCACCAGTTTTTTTCATATACATGTATTCAGTGCAAAATTCTCCAGAGGGACGTTTAAAAAGCTAGTTTACGGCGTCACCTGCAATATATATGTGTTTTCGTGCGAGATAGACAAAACGCAATACAATGTTTATTTTAATATTTTTGTTATTAATTTTGCAAATTTATCAGAATTGATTTAGGGGCGGGGAAAGTTAAAAAAGACATATGTTTAAGTACAGCTCAATACATGTATAGAGTTTTGCTAAAAACTTTTGATTGTTAAATTTTATACCACGCAGTTGTGACATTACTTTTGGATCAACTCTCCTACATCGATGTAAGGTCACTAAGTTTTATGGTATTCCAACCTTTGAAATATACCTAATGTACGGTAATAATAAAAAAAAAACGAACACGGAATTGTAATTCCTGGAACAGATTCGCGGATATGGATCAGATTAAAGGATTAGTTGAGCTTAAATAACTATTATTGAAATTAATATTGTATCTTTACTACAATATTTAAACAAACTTCCACGTTTGAGATGTATGGGTCATCATCCAATAGAAATCTTCGTTATAAAATCACGTGGTGGCTGGGATAATTTTAATTAAGCAGTTCATTGATTTGCTGTTAAGGGGGATTGTCAATTGTAAACAAGTTCGCGTCATTTGGACTCTTTTTGAATTATTTAATATAGATTATCACCAATAAAGTTCCATCGATTAGAGTTATATTGATGATAAAACCGTCCATTCTTAGCTGGGTGGTAGATTCATATAAAACTAGTCGGGGGCGACTTCTGTTCGGATATAAATTGATTAAACATTTCAGATTCCGTGTTTTAGTTTTTCCTTACATCGGTGGACGATCAGTTAACTTTTTAATTCTTGTGACAGTTTTTACATCAACATGATAATTGCAAATTTTCGTCTCTAGCTCTTTAGATAACAGAGGATTGTGTTTTGTCACTAACAGATAATATTTTTAACCACATAAAAAAACTTTCTAAATTTTAATTTAATTCCGGAGAATGGTGTCAAAGCTTTTTTGGTTACTGGTATCAACCCTGATATCTTTAGGTAAGTGAAATCTCTCTCTCTCTCTCTCTCTCTCTCTCTCTCTCTCTCTCTCTCTCTCTCTCAGCTACTGTAAATATATGAATGTTATGAAGTAACAGGATTAATATGTTGTCAATAGATTTCGCTGATTCTGTTCATAGATCTTGTATCAAAATATGATGATATACTTCAGTTTTCGATATGAATACATGTATTTATATATGAAAACGTGTTGTAATTTTATTTTCTCTATTCATTAATATATATTCATTTATATATTTGTATATTTTCATTCATAATAATGCATTTATATTACAATATTTTTGCCTCAAGCATAAAAACTATTCTTGTATGAAGGATGTTCAGATCAGAATTGCTTTTTTTTAGTTTACTGATTGTATGACTTTGATTACATAACTAAACTTAAGACTATATCCAAACCCTCTTTATTCAAATATAAAGCAAATAATAACTTTTGTTAATATACAGTTTTAATTTATTTAATTCATTTTTTAAAGTGTGTTTTATTCACTTAATAAATTAAAATCTTTTTAAAAAATGAATTTCAGAAAAAATATAAACACATGCACAGATTTAAAAAAAAATGAGAATACATGTGTCCTCTTTTTAAAGATCAAAATGTAAGTCCAGGCCCGAGGATCATGAAACAGGCTAAGACTTAAGTCAAATTTTCGATCACCTGAAAATTGTTTATTAATTACTGAATTAATCTCAAAATTTGCAAAGAACAGCGCATTTGTGAATCAATATTGAAACTGATCTTAATTTTTAAGTACAGTATGAAGATTTTGACTTAAGCTTAAGATGTTTCATAACCCTGGGGCCAGAGTAATTCTTTAACTAATATAAAGCTTTAACTATACAGATAAAACGAATTATTTAGAATAACATAACTCGATTAGATGAATAAGCTATGAAATAAAATGTTTAATATCTCGCAGGGCTCAAGTCGGTGTAAGTACCTTAAGGGCATACGTATTTAGACATTATTTTCGGGAAAAAATATTTTCTAAAGCCTCTTTCTTTTAGCTCTTTTTAATAAATGACGCTTTTCAAATCTCTCAAACAAAGCACTGATTTAAACCAGTAAAACCTCTTCAAACACTTTAGCTGATACACTACATTGTTACGTCACAATTTAAGTTCGATGTGACGTAAGTTTGAGGCTGCATCCACCTTAAAAAAATACACACTAACGATAAATGTGTTACATTCTTTTGCGTCTTAGTAAATTGCTAGTTGTAGTAGCAATCTCTCTCTCTCTCTCTCTCTCTCTCTCTCTCCAGTATATGTATTCTATTGATTAACCTTGAGTCAGACGTCTTTATATGCCTTTCATTTCTATGGAAAATTAATTTTCTTTTCTCTAATTCTAATATTAAAAAAATTCCCAGTGGGCCCCTTGTTCCTGCTGGCCATTTGATACACAGTTGTCTTGATTTAGAAAGGTTAATTGTGACGTTGGAGTAGAGTCAAGCAGCTTCATGATTACGATCTCGTATAAAATGAGGGAGAAATAAAATAAGATGGACGCAAGAAAACATAAAACGGAGTGCAGCGTCGTAGTCTCCGGACTGATCAGGGCTAATTTTAGTTTGTAATGTATAAGTGCGATGTGTAGTAAACAACCTATTAAAAAATAAAACAAAGTACTTCTTGTGTTTTAAAATTATCACGAGTGATATTGAACGTAATGACGAGAAGATATCAGATTGTAAAGTTTATTTTTATGAAAAAAATCTTTTGCTAATGAATATTATCTCATAAATGAGTCATTGACTAAGAATTTCTAGGTCTCTGTGTAACCAATTTGATTTCATTTTCAGTTACAATGCATTAAAATAATACAATTCTGTTAGTACTCCGTTAAATATATGAATGTTACGTCACTTTAAGTAATATTATTGAAATTATAAAGCCAGTGGCCCCTTAACCCAAGCCAAACTACTGGTATATAATTGTTCAGTTTAAACATTTTTCAACCTTGAAGCAAACTTATCATTCTTCGTGTATTCCTTTAATCTGTGTCAATCTTCGAATTCTGCAGTCAAAAATAAAAGAAATGTGGATTAATTAAAATATGCGTTGCTACGTCGAGAATGGTGAGCTTATAAGAAACCCTGATATCAAACGTCGCCACTCATTTGAAGTGAAGTTATTGTAAACATTTTACGCAGTTGTATTATCATCCTAGATTTCTGAACATCTGTTCAAAATTTATTATTTAATGTTTGTTAAGGCCGTGTGTCCCAAACTAAAAATAGATAATTCTATGAGGGACTTATTATTCAGTATTTCCTTTATATTGGTTCAAATAATTTTTCGAAAAATGCTTTTCCGATTCAAAAAATCAAAGAAATTACATTTTTTTTCTTAATAAAAAAAACACTATCCCGAATTTGTATTGATTGAATGGTTATGAATAAACTATAAATCATTAAATGAAAGCTATTTTGAAAATCTTTCGAAAGTCATTGAAATTTTTTTTTCAAAAAGAACGAGTTAGACATTTGTTCTTGCGGCCAAATCAAACTTGAGACGTTTAAGGTGATTTGTGATTTTCCCTTCGCGCTCTAAATTAGAAGCCATGTACACATACGCTAGTATCGCGAGGAGGGAGGGGGGGGGGGCACATCCATATTTTTGAAAACATAACATTTTCATTCGTTGAAAAGCTGAATGCCCCTACCCCTCCCTTTGCTGCTTAGTTAAAACATGGTATTTTATTAATATATTTCAAAATTTGTTGTTTCTAAAAGAAAGTTGTATCCTACCCTCCCCCTTACCCCTCCAAGAAATCAACTTATAAATAAGTTTTGGTAATTGCAGTTCATTTTCATGAATTGCTATGACCGAGTTAACCCTCATGCATATGTCAAAACTACTGACACTAATGTAATACTCTTTATCAGATGACAACTCATCAAGAGTGAAACAACAAAAGTATTTTTTTAATAATCACATTTTGAACATTCTTATGATCTTTGCATGTAAAATATTTTTTTTTACTGAATGTACACGTACCCCCCAGGTCAAGAAGTTTCTAATATTAAATAAAATTTTTATCAAATAGAAGAAAATAATCAAATTGCACACAGTTTTGATTTCAAGTTAAGTTTTAATTTTTTAATGCATTTGAACTCGGAAGTAATTTTTCAAATTTTAATTTTTGTAGGCATTTGTACCCAGAAGAGAGCACTACCGGATCCTAAATCATTTGATGGAATGATGGCAGCCATTTCTTTACCCACAATGCAACAAGAGAACTTCCAGAAAATGTGTTTACAAAGTATGAAATTATTCTTTTTTTCAAAGAAGTTTGAATGAGAAAAGAGTGTCACAATCAATTGTTGATTAATTTTTATTCTTCCTTTTTGCTGATATGATAAAATAGAGTGTAAAAGGTTCTTATTTTCACGGACATGTTATATACATGTATATGTATTTTTTTAAATTAGTAACTTGTGTATACATAAAGAATTAAGGAGGCTGGGTGTGCCAACAAATTAACTATGAGTTTTAACTGATTTTTTTTTAGATATATCTTAAGCTGTCAACTCTCATTTAGGAAAGAAAAAATTCATACATTTTATTTTTACATTTGATCATTTTTGTATATCTTTATCTGGAGCTCTTCTTCTATAAGGAGATCAATATAGTCTGAAAGTAGCCACAAACATCCAGCCCTTTTAAAAAAGTTAACTTATAAATAGATCTTCGTTGACAATGAAAACAACCTGAACAAAATTTTCAGATGATTAATATGATAAATATACATTTTCTCATATCTTACATAGTATTCTGAAATAAAGTGATTTTTATTCAAAATAAGTGTGTACCCTATATCATTAGGCATTCCTAAATGATGAATAAAACAAAACAGTTTTTATTTTTAAGTAATTAGGGAAAACGTACAGCTTCATGGTAGGAAAAGACAAACATGTACTTATTTTGTTCAATGCTTCGCTACAAAAATCTGATAATTTATAGCCATTTTGTCAATGATTTACAGATTTTTTTTCTCCGAATCAATGTTTGTCTAAGGGCAAAACTTTTTTATATCAGGTTTCTATTATTTCGACAAGCTCTTTAGTGTAGCCGTATCTTTAATTCTGAGTTCATTTAGGATAGTATCGAAAACTCCATTTAATTGATGGAATCAGGAACAGTAAATAAATGGACAATCGGAAAAATGAGACGCACACAAAAGCCGCCAGAGGGCGCGAGATTGAACATTGATGGGATGTCAATTTTCTCGGCTTAGCACGTGCCTTTTTGTCTATAAATAGCCCCTATCTTACTTGTAACTTCTTGGCAGGGAAATTCGGATACATAAAAAAAATCTGGCAGATTTTTTTTCTTGGAGACAAGATGTTTAAAAAATCAATACAAAAGTGAAATTTTGAAAGAAACAAAAATCTGGCTAGACGATTTCTAAGGTTTGGCAAACGAATCATTATCTGATAAGAATACACATATTCAATACAGTCATTCAGTTAGAGAGAGACTTATTTGCATTTCAAACTATTTCCGTTTTGCTCCGCGTTAGATAGTTTGTGACACCCTAATCAGGGCTTATCTTTTTGTACATTAAACACAGTGAACCTAAAAAGTGGAATAACAGATCCATAAATACCCGAGATCTCGTTCAGATCTCGCGTAATTATGTTAATTAACTTACCAACAGATAGTTTTAAATGTGTGTAGACGATGGGATTTTCTTGTTTAATGTTCGTATCAGGCTATTTAAATATAAATTGTAAAAAATAATGCACATTACCGCAGATTTACGAAGGTGTAAAAATAGCATATTTATACTCGGTGTGAATTACACGTAGTGCATGTGTGATATATTCATGGAGAGAAATTCATATTCCTTTTGAAAAGCGCAAGATGTGTGACAAAAAACTATTTAATAAATTGTTAAAAAATCAATTTGGCTACATGGATATGCGTAATGCTGTTGCAAGCTTTTATTTGTATTTTAAAATTATTTGTGTTAAGTTCTCTATTTAGGTATTATATATGTAGGTAACGCTTTCTAAAAAAAACAACAAATTATACATATGTTTCTTGGTAGTTTGCATTAGCATCCCAGTATAAATGTACGTAGCGGATGTAGTAATATTGAAAGGGGGTGGGGCATTTCTGGGTCGGGGCACACATCCACATCCAAAAAAAAATTATTAAAAATATATATATATATATATATATATATATATATATATATATATATACAAAAGACCCGGGCCATCTGGGCCCCTTTTAAATCTTTCAGGGACTACGACATGCAGCTCTCCTACCCAAGTTGAAGCGTTTTTGTATTTCAAGATTTGGCCATTAAAAGTTTTCTTTATGTTTACCGTTCGCTTGCGCATTAATTGGTTATTAACACCGAATATGAAAACTAACATAAAAATTAGGAGACCTGAAATTGATAATTGTGATCTGAATCTATGAACTTTGTCATTTTCTGTAATGATCTTATTATATAATGTAAGGTATATTTTGAGCATTTTATACCTTGATTTTGCTGAAGTATATATATCTTTCTACAAGAAAAATAAATTTATGAATTATGATAAAAATCCTTTCATTTGAATAACTTTTTTAAATGACTGTTAAGTTAGTGCCCCTCTCCCTAAATAGGTTGGTAGGTTGGTTAGTTATTGAAAGATGGGTGGAAGCTAGGCACAAAAAAAAAATTGGAAAGGTCTTTTATGGCAAAATGCAGATTTTTATCTCCAAATGATTTACATTGTACAATAATTTAGAAGTATTTTGAATTTTTTTTCAGATATACCAACACAGGTTTTACTTCAAGAAGTTTATACTCGAATGGGAAAAGAAGATGCGTCAGTATATAATTCTCTCTTTCTCTCTCAAACTCTGTATGAACGGATCAGTTGATTTAAAATCGATTTACATCGAAAGCACACCCCATTAAGTCTCTCTCTCTCTCAATATTTTGTTCTTTATTTGTAGAATGAGTAAAACATTTCCCGAACCTGTTGATCCCATCGAACCAGAATTACAACGGACATCACATGAGGATAGTAGTATCAGGACACAAAAACGTAGGGGAAGAAATCGAATTTCCGGATTTTACAGTAATTGGTAGACAAACTTTAAAAGATTCTACCACTGAGAACAATAAAGAAATCTCTGTGTTATTAAAGTATTTATGATGTATGCTCGTTAAATAAATGATAAATGCATAATTCTTCCTTGATTTTTTTTTCTTCATACAATGCATATGGGTAATTAAAACTTTATACAACATGTCCTTTTCATTAAAAATCTATGTTTGAAAAAAAAGATCAAACATGTACACTGTAATAAGTAGAGACTGTCGTCTTCACTCTGAATTTGAATGGGTGAACATTAATTATTGCCTTCCTCGGAAGGACGAATACAAAATTGACCGGAGACTGTCTAATTTTGATTGGTGGAAATTACTAGATGCGAAAACTTTCAATTATTTCATTGGTTGAAATGCTGTTCAGGCAAAGGGATATAATTTTCTGGTGATTAATGTTTTTAATCATAAAAGAATTTACAAAACGAACAGAAGAAAAGGTCAAAAAAAGAATCTAAATAATCCTTTTTTTAAATACTTTAATGTCAAGTGGTTCAATATCTTCATGGTAAATACAAATGTTTATTACTCCATCAAACCATTAAAGCGGTTTCATTGTTTTCCAAATGGATGAAAATGTCTGTAAAAAGCTATTAAAAATCCAGAGCAAAGATAAGCTTTAGGATAATATGCATAGTACAGTTTACTTCTTATTTTTGCTAAAAACAGCAAAGCCTTTTGAAAAAGCGTTTACTTGTTCGTCTATCAAAATCCATCTGTGTATATGGCACTGAATAATGCTGTATGCGTGTTGACCAATCGGAGAGTGTGTTATAAAAAGAAGTAAACGTATTCAGTTGTTTTATTATATTTTATTTATGACAAATCACTCATAAGTCACATTCACTCATAGGGCCCTATCAAACAACCACATTCTTACTATTGTACAACAAAAATAATCATCTCTCATTTTATCGTCCATCAAGAACGGTCTAAAACATATCAAAAACAAAAGGGCGGATATTTCCGGAACACAAACTTCCATTGTATCACTTGTTATACAGAAAGACCTATTGCTTCGCATATCGAAATATTGTCGTACAAATTTTTTGTCTAGTATTTTCTAAATAATAGTTGATTATAGATAAATAAATGTTATTGTGCTTACATATAATAAATAATAATAAATCAGATACATTGATATAATGTATATCAAATTTTGCGTATCTAAATGTCTACAAATTTAATCATTAAGTGGTTGAAGTAACTGTTTACATATGAATACGTGTTTGAGAATTGTACTCAAAAAATCACAAGTGACAAAAAATCATTGGCTAAGTGATAAACTTCAGTAATTACTCCGTATTATCTATATATAGACGAATACTTTTTATATATCGATGTAATTGATGGGCCTATTTTATGGCAGCGTTTTATTTGACGTGGTGTAAAAGGTCTCGTGCGTGACACATAACCACGATGCATCTATATCCCGGCGCCTATCATTAGCAGTCACTTTACCTATATTGTAAGGAGAAAGACCGCAGCTATGGCAAAAATGCTGCCCACTGGACATCAAACGGTATGCAGCCATAAAATGGTTTAGATAAACAGACTGATGTACAAAAAGTGCAGGCATTTATGTATTCGATCAAATACATTTTCTATTTAGAATACCGACGAAAAATCTTACACTTGACAGTAAAATCGTATTTTTAAGATATCGTACCTGTGCAGCCTTCGAAAAACATACTAGTATGTTAAATAACTTGATAAATGCGAAATACACTTAAACACAATTTGAACATGACTTTGCGAGAACACAGCTAGAGCAATCTTGCAGAAATATTTCCCGGATTTCATTTCTATATATATTGCGCAAATTACACTAAACGTTACAATGATTTCGATTTTTTTCTTCAAACTTAAACAATTTTTTTTACTGACGACAGTTAACCAGAATAATAACTTTAAAAATTCTGTGTAACCTGATTAAAAAAATACAATATTTCATATTGCACTGTAAAACTTTTAGAATCCCAAAGCCTCCACAATCGCGTGCATTACACGCCCTCTATTGGCTGGACCACCCCTTCTTCCCCCTCCGGCTCCACCTCGCGCCCCGGGACCAAGGCCTAGTTCAGCCGCTTCCGCAGGATCCATCATCATTCCAGCTAACCTTGCTAGATCTCCAAATCCTCCACCACCGCCTCGCCTTCGGCCTCCTCCTCCTCCCCACATTCCGCCGCCCCCTCCGGCTCCCCATCCTCCACCGCCACCACCTGCTGCTTGTCCTTGCTGACCTGCAGGAACATCACCAGCTTCAGGAGCAAGACCGAGCACCTCTTGCCATTGTCTGGACATCCTTCGGCCGCCTCCTCGTCCTCCTGCCGGAGGCCCCCAAGGATCAGGACCTGGCTGTGCCCACGGGTCTGCAGCTCCTGCTGCTCCACCGGCCCTTCCTCCTCCTGGGCCCCAAGGATCGGCTGCACCAGCACCACCTGCTCCTCCCCAGGGATCTGCACCACCACCAGCCACATTCCATGGATCTGCTGCACCCCAGCCGCCTGCCCCACCGCCGGCGCCGCCCATAGCGCCACCTCGTCTCCGGGCGCCAGCTGCTGGCGGATCTGGGGGTTCAGGAGCTAATCCTAACATCGTGATAAGCTGCTTACTCATGGCAGTTTCTACTGCTCTTTGTACCGGGTCTGGAGTTGTAGGTGGGGGTGGTGGTTGGTAATTTGATCCGGAACCACCTGACGCAGTGTTGTTGTTGTAATATGCATATTGGTCTTGTCTCTGTCGTCTTTGCTGTTCTTGACGCTTTCGAATCTGACTTCTGTATCCTTTCCCGACTATATACGGATCCCGTGGGTAGCTTCGTCGTCTTGGGAGCCGAAGGAATCTTCTCAGCTCTGGTAAAATGTTCAGGACGGCTGTACTTACGGATCCCTTGAGATGGGCAGGATTGATGTTCATGGATCTGAGGAAGTCGGCACCAGTGGCGTAAAGAAGTGTCATTATGGTTTGTTGGTTTTGTCCCATTGAGCGTATCATGCTTAACATGACGTTTCTGAAATGAAATAATGAAATTTAGATATATGTTATTTTATACAGGAAATACAAATGAAAAATCTTTTGTTAAAATGTAACCAGTTTTCTATCAATTTGCAATCGATCGTTAAAAATGAAACACACTTGTTGAGCGCGTAAAATTAACAAATTTAACAAAATGTTTTATCAGAATTACGAAAAATACGAAGGTCATTCAAAAAGTTCGTAGACTTTTATCCTAACTTTTTTATTTAACGTCATATTATATCCAAATTTGGTACAAATATTTTAACAACGGAGCACCGTCAAAATTGAATATTTTTCTAATTTTCACTTTATAGTATTTACAGCTATACCTCTAATAAATGAAGCTGAAACGAAATAAAATTTACATGTTTAAATAAAGTATTGTTGTATTAATTAAAATGAAATCAGGTTATGTAATATCTCGCTCCATTTAAAAGACATCAGCTTCTAAATACATAAGGACTTGATTGAAAAAGGCAAAAAGCCATGACGTTGGAGGACGTCACGGAGCAGCAAGTAGCAATAAAATTAGACTTTACATTCGGGAAACTTCTTCTACAAGCTTAAAAATCTATTTAAACCAGGATCTGTATGAAAAATAATCCGTGTGTTTGTATTAAATTAAAAATACAATTTTTGAGTGGTATCGAGTTTGAATCGGACGATGAATTGTCTGCAAAGAAACAGGTTAAAGATAAAAATATTGTCAAAAGAGTTAGGAACGTCATTGAACGTGATGTGTGCTTCAGTGTTGCAGAAATAATAGAGTTGCATAGTAATTTAAAGAATTTGAAAATAATAACATTCTTATTCAAGCTATATTTGTACAATTGTTAGCAAACTAGGTGTTAAGTGTTGTGGATATGTGTTTTATGGATAAAACTACAAACCGTGTTAGAAATAAAAAAAAATGAGTATACTTCTGACAAACTTTCTCTGCGTCGTTGTTTACGTTACAATATTGGATAACCGTGCTCCGTGGTAACAAAACTTGTTGCTTTAAATTTTGGCTAACATGAGTTCTATTTAATCAAATGGAATGAAACTTCTCACTTCGACAAAATAAATGTTTATGTTTACGAAAATGTATTGATCTACAATCTTGTAATAATCATATGACGATGAGAAGCATTGTCTACGTATTTTTTGAATGACCCTCGTACATCTTTACAAATCAAGCAAGAAAACCTAAATCTTCTATAGTCTTGGCTACTTTAACTTTTATTATGCTTTATCCCCTTAACAAAGCGTTCGTAATCAAATACATGTAGTTTGCCGGGTTATTGCCATCGTAACGCTACCTCGACCGATCTTCACGTCTCTCACCTTGATATTGGATCCACAGACTCGGGGGTCAGATCCTTAACGTCAATAATAACGGGAGGTTCTGTTGGGATCGGGGTTGTTGTAGTTGGAGCCATTGTTGTGGTAGTTGGTGGAGGTACATTAACTGGAATATCGAACCGAGAGGACCCGACTTCAAGGAAGTTATTCCATTTATTGACATTGTTTCCCATGGACTGGGTGTCAATATTTATCTGAGTGTTCATCGAGTTCATTTTATTAGCAGAGGATTCTACTCCTAGACCCCAGGCAGCCTGGCTAGATTCTGTAGGAATCGCTTGTACATTATTGGAAGATTGCATCATGTTAGATGAACTAGAAGAAAAGGATCCACGGCCGCCGCCAGATTGGAATGAATTGGTTGAGTCAAATGTGTTAAATGAGTCTGAAACGCTTGTCTTATATGACTTTGAAGAACCCATAGTATCGAAAGAGCCAGCTGCTCCAACTGTATTAGACTTGTCGTAATTATTAACAACGGAACTGCTACTATATGACAAAGAACCACCAGTCGAAACGCCCCTGCCTTGTGAAGATGCGTCAACTCCACCTGCTCCCACTTGGAACCCAGATAGTGATTGAAGGTTAACGAAAGAGGCGTCCCAAGGGGTAGTGGCCTGTGTTGTTGTAGTTGGACGTCTTCTGGTAGTTGTAGGTGGTGGAGCGGCAGTCGTTAAAGGTGATGGAGCTCTTGTGGTGGGCACTGGTGGCGGGCGTGTAGGAGGCGGTTGTACAACTGGCTGTTTAACCTCTTGAACTCTAACCTCTTTTGTTAATGAACCAGCTTTATGCATCTGTCCTCTTGAAGTTGTTTTTCCTTGGCTAGTTGAGGATGCAGATCTCGAGGATGATGAAGAAGAGGCTGAAATACTCTTTGAGGAAGAAAGGGAAGAGCTTGAAGAAGCTCCTGTATTTTCAACGGAGTAAGCTGCATCCCAAGCTCCTGCAGAATTTCCGATAGTTGACTCAATCGGCAAAGTAGGGTCTATGAAAGCAGCGTCCCATGAAGATCCAGAAGTTCCAGTCCCTATGTCCATTACAGAAGTTCCAGCACCTATGTCTATTCCACTATTTGCTGTATTATCAAAGACGTATGTAGTGTCCCAAACATTATTAGCTGCTGTACCTAAGTTAGCAGTATCCATCATAAGATCAACGTTTCCTGTCAAAGCAGTGTTGCCCCATTCTGGCGCTATGTTACCCATTCCAATGGAATCAATCATACTGGCATCCATTGTTTGTCCATCTACAGCCATATTTCCAACACCAGTCATGTCCATAGCTGAGCCACCTGCAACGTTAAAGGAAGAGTCGACAGTTGTTGATGTTTTAGAGGATACAGTGTCAATTTTTGTTTTTTCAACTGCAGGTGCCTCTGTTTGCGGTGGTAATTGGGTTGCAGGTGCGGCTTCTTTTGTGATCTTTACTTGTGAAGAGGATTCCGAGGCAACATTTGTAGATTTATCTACTACGGTATCTCCACGTTGCACTTCTATTTTATTTGTTGCTATTTTATCCTTTTTCACATCTCCTTGCACAACTTCACTAGCAGAAACCAAATTAGATTCTGTTTTTACCGACGTTGACGAAGAACTTACAGATTTTTGAGTGTCAACCTTGTTTGCATTATCCAAAGTAGTAGCTGTTGGAGCTCCAGCAATTTGGTTAGTCATCTGAATCTTCATTGACTGATCTGTAGAATACGGGAATGTTTGTTTGCCGCCCATCTGAACTTTAAGCATGATATCCGTCAGAGCCTTAAACATATTGGCTAATATGGCATTTGGATCCCGTGCTGTGTTCTTTGATTTTTCGGCCTGTGTATCAATTTTACTCTCACTTACAGTGCTAGTTTTCGTCGAAATAACAGTATTTTGATCTCCTTGAGACCTTGTCTTTGTGTTTCCACCTGTAACTGTTTGTTCCACGGATGCTGACATCAATGTTTTACTGTTTTCATTTCCACGTAATCCATCAACTTTATTTGCTGTTCTGCTTGTTTCTATAGTTGATTTTGAGTCTGTTTTTCCTTTGCTCGTAACTTCTGTATTAATTTTGCTTGTTTCTACAGCTGTCTTTCTTTCAGCTGTGGAGGAACCTTCTGTTTTTGTCACTTCAACAGTGTTGAATTGAGTATCTTTTGTCACTTCAGAGGTAGAAATTGATGAATGTGCAGATTTTCCTGTAATGCTTTGACTAGGAGCAAGCGATTGTGCTGTAACTGCTTTAAGCTGAGGGATAGGTCTGTCTCCCATATCAATTTGTTCATTAGTGGACACGATGACTTGTTTAATTATAGGTGCTGGAGGTGGAGTTAATTTACTAGATGATTTTTCCGCAGATAATACAGTGTAAGAGGAATCCGATTGACCCGTCATTGATTTTTCCACTTTTGAATTTGATTGAATTGAAGACGATTTCATTTCAGATAGAGATGATGATGACATAACTGAAATATCAGCGCCGTGAGTTAAGGGTTTAGATGCCTTTACCGGCTCTGTTGTAATTTCTTGTGTTGTTGGAGCTTCAGTTGTCGTAGTTGGGGCCTGTGTCGATGTTGTAGTCGTTGGTTCCTTTGTAGTTGTTGTTGAACGTCTAGTCGTCGTTGTTGGTGTTGTTGTTGGGGTTGTCGTTGGTGCTTGTGTGGTTGTTAGAACCTCTGTGGTCGTCGGTGCCATCGTAGTTGTCGTCGTAGCTTCTGTCGTTGTAGTAGATGTCGTAGTTGTGGCTTCCGTCGTAGTAGTTGGGGCGGCTGTTGTTGAAGTGGTAGGAGGAGGAGTGGTTTCTGGTAAAGAAGTTACGAATCCCATTCCAAACGTTGAGTCGTGTGCAACTTGGCCACCTGCAGAGAGAACTGGACCAACTTCTAAAGCTGTTGTATCTGTCAATCGCAGGAGTGTATGGTCTATTCCACTAGGAATGATTCCAGCATCATAACCAGACGAAAGCGCGTGGCCACCAAAATTTGATGAAATCATGGAGCCTTGATTAACATTATCATTTGGGGAACCTTGAGAGAAACTTATATCAGCTGCTGATGATCCTGTGCCCCACTGGTCCAAACCGCTCATCATATTCGTGTCATATTGAACAAATGTACCAGTGTTTTGCATTCCTGGTGCACTATCAATCATCATATTTGGTTCCCCAGGAGGAAGGGGTATTGATTCCACTGGGCCTGCAGTCAAAAATTGTTCGCCAGCATTGCTTGCAAAAGAAGACTGAGATGTTAAAGATGAGGTTTGATCCAATAATAATGAATCCATTGTTTGGGCATTTGATCCAGAGGTAGGTAACCAGGTATCACCTCCCATGTTTGGCTGAGGATCTGGTGGCAAATTAAAATTGAATTGATAAGGATCGTTCATGCCATACTGAAGCCCTAACCCTTGATTAAGTCCTTCTACGACCAAATTCTGATTTTGTTGTGCATTTTCTATACCATTTGAAATTCCCCATTGACTGCTACCTTGACCACCAATGTTGATACTTCCCTTTATAAGAATTGGGTTTGAAATCAACTGATCATTGGTCTGTGCTGCTTGAGAAGTTTTCAAATTCGATCCACTGTCCGGTGGAAGCGTACTTGGTGGTATTTGTGGTGGAAGTGTTGTTTCAACAATCCCAGAAGTTTTGGATTTCTGAGAGGAAGAATCTTGAACAATTTTGGAATTCACTTCTAGAACAGTCGCACCGGTCGTGACTTCATTTGGCAGAATAGTGATGACTTCTAAATTTTTCATAGTACTCGATTCCACAGGTTGTTGAATATTGATATCTCCATTCAGAGTTTGACGAGTTTCTTTGGTGGTCTCTACTTTCAGGCTTCCTTGGTTAGGAATGACTTCCCATTTTCCTCCATTGGAGAACATGCTAGAACCAGACGATGCACTGTTTGATTGCGAACTTGAAGATACTGAAAAGGAGGATGATGAGGAAGAAAAGGAAGAAGACGAAACCATGGGCTTTGAAGATATCTTCCTCACCGTTGTTGTATTGACCTCAACCGACTCGGTTCTGGGAGTGTCAGGTCGAACTTGTTGCGAGTTAGATGCTAGTTTATGTGCAATTTTTCGGGAAGGATTGGGTTCTCTCTTCTCTAACAATATTTTTTCTATCGCTTCAGATTTTACATTTGGTAAAAAGTTATTAGGATTCAGAGTTTTGCTGGTATCTTTGTTTCTTTGGCCCATCAATGTGAGTTCACGTCTGGCAGAAAAAGAATTCGTAGCTTCTTTCCGTGGGGAGAAGTTTCCGCCCAGTGTGACTTCCATTCTCTGTGTTTGTGTGTTTGCAGTATTAACTCTGTTTTTACCCTCCTCTACTGTTTGGATATCTTCTTTAACTTTCACCCTTTGATTGTCTATCTGCTTTTCCTGTTGTAGAGTTACTTGTCCTGATTCTTTTGTGGATGACACTACTTCAGATCTAACCTCAGGAATAACCGGCTTCTGCATCTTTGTTTCAGCTTCCATCGACACCTGGCCTACGTCTTGATGTCTCTGACTTGACATCTTCTGGGTCATTAAAAAGGAATTTTTGGCTTCAGTTTCAGACACTTGAGACATTTTACTGTATCCAAGATCAGCTGGGCGGCTAGAGAGTGATCCTCCGGTAATAGTAAGAGAGGGCCCCGACATTGACGAGGGAAGTACGTAATTGTTGTTATTGCTGGGAATAACAACAGTCTGAGGATATAAAGCCTCGCTTTCGGGTTTAGATGATTTTTGATCTACAATGACTTCAGTTCTTTTAATGGAAACTGTTTTGTCTGTCTTTGTCTGTGGAGCTACTAATTCTCTTGATTTTGTTTTAGCGGAAATCACCGGCTTTGATAATACCAATTCCTTTTCTAACGTGGATCCTTTATTGATTTTGGAAGAAACATTAATTTTCGGTAATGCAGGTTGTGACAAGGCTGGCTTTGTCTCTTTGTCCATATTTGTTGTATCGATTTTAACGTTTTCAGTCTGTGTTGTCAAAACATCTGACTTTGCCTCGTTTTGAGTTTGGATTTCAGCTCCAGACATCTGGTGACCATTTGAAGATATGTGCTTTGTTATAGTTGTATTTGTGATATTTGTTGAAATTGAAGGACGATTTACGTTAGACCGGACCTGCTGATTTACGTTCACCTCTGCAGATCCACCAAGGGTTTGTATTGGCACGCCTCCAGATCCACTAAAAGATGACATTCTATTTAAAATAGTTTTCCCGTTGAGAAAATCTCTCGCAGAGATTCTTAAGCCGCCTTGATTTCTGCTCTGGACAAAAGATGGTGTTACTCCGCGGTTCTTCTTTCTTATCTCGGTACGGATTACTTTTTTAATACCACTGGGTGTATTTGTGACTTGAACGGTTTGAATAGTCTCAGCATTTCCACCTTGTTTCACGTGTTTTACAAGCTTTCTTAGTTTCTCTAAAGCCAAGGAAACAGCTGAATGTGGTTTTCTGTCTATTCCGCTATGGGTGTTGTTAACAACAAAAGAGACGGTATGAACCGTTTTTGGTCCTGGGATCCCCGGAATCACCCTTGATGCCAACCCACTTCTGATTGGTACTGAACTGTCAAAGCCCGAGGAGGATTCCGATCCTGAGGTTGCTGATGACGCTGACCATTTTACAGACCTTAAAGGAGATGACTGGGACATTGAAGAAGATGAAGACGAAGTTGATGAAGATTTAACAACCATAGAGGAAGATCCCATATTTGTCTTGATTGGTGGAAATGGAGGGGAAATAAGCCCAGTTTGTCCTTTCATTGAACCCAGAAGCCCGGATGTGTGGCCAGTGTTCCCATTAGCATTAGATCCTGAAAAACTCAATGTGGTTTTCTTTACAGAGAAAGTTCCATGTGCCTGAGTAACTGGGTTTGGAGTCACTAGCGTAGTTCTTTTTGAGCGAGATAAAATCTTTCCATTAAACTCTGAGGTTGACTTAAATCGATTAAGAAGGTCTGTAGGATTGATTGTTTCTTTAGCCTCTGCACCTACTTTGGCGTCGGTGGCCACTTGTTCTTCTACATTTGCCGCTCCCTCCCCGAGGTAAGGCAGCATAATGCCCTTGGGTTTCGGCACATTTCCAATTGAGACGCTTGGAAAAGCAACATCGACGTCCTTCCTCATCTGCACCTCATTATTAGCCACCTTATTCGATGTGCGAACATTTCCATTAAAATCAAAAATAGGTACAATTGGTTCGAGTTTGGCTTCGTTTTGTAAGTATCTAAATTCCGATCCCGATGTTTGTTTTTCAGTCGTAGAGGATTTGATATTTCTTTTGAGAATCGCTTCAGGTGGTAGGATGGCTATGTCTGCGCAGTTGTAATATTCCTCTTGTGGTCCACATCCGGTACGGCTGGTGCCATCCGGGCACTTTCCCCAGTTCATAGCTGCAATAAAGAACCAAAATTTATTTTGATAACATAATTATTTTGGTAACCATAGTTATTTATTTTTTTAACAAATACTGATCACAACTACTAAACAATGATTTTGAAAGTCGTTTGGTGTATTTTTATTTACGACCTTAATATTGAGAGTGACTTAAAAGCTATACATATGTAGTAGTCCGAAGAATTAGGTGGTAATGAAGTCTAATGAAGTCCCACATAAAAAAAGAATGTTTCTTGTACAAAAAAATGATATTTTTAAAAGATCAAATCAGTGAGTGTTTTCTTCTGATTATGTTTTCACCTAATTTTAGGAAATACCGTAAATCTGGAAATTTTTGCTGTAGATAATTTTTTGTTTTGCATTAGCAAAAATATTTTTCTAAAAATAAATTTAAGAAAATGTAAACAAAATACAAAATTTTGAAACGTAAAAAATATTTTCGCAAAATAAAAGGTAAAAATTCCATTTGTACATAAAATAGGGTATTCCATGTTATAAAGAATTAATAGAAATGACCTTCGACCTCAGACCACTTTATATCGGAATGTTTACATATCTATCTCTTTTAACGAAAATAAGAGTCTTTCTTTCTTCTTTTTTTTACTGATTAGTATTCATTACTGTTGAACTTCATTCAAATCTACTCATGTTAATAAATGAAGAAAAAGAGATAAGATTTCTTCTCTCTCCTGTTTAACCAAAACCAGACTCACAGAAAATCACACGTATTTCATTTTTTGGACAGTTTATATCATGCCCACACGTCAAGTCCAAAGACCATCAAGTAAAAAAATTGAGTAGTAAGATTTGTTTTTATGACTATCATTTTATTACCTAAAGCAGCTCTCTTATTAAATTTTTTTCGCTTTTCTTCTTCTTCTTCTTCTTTTTTTTTGGGGGGGGGGGGGGGGGGGGGGGGGGGGGGGGGGGGGCTAATGAATTTTTTTCAAAAACCTTTGAAATTAATATATTATAGAAAAATTGATTATTTCATTTTCAAAAAAGATTACATTTAGGTTAAAAGAAATAAATAAAAGATTCAAATGATCTATTTACTTTTCAACTGATCTTTTTCCTTGTCTGATTTTTTTAGGGGGGAAGGTAAATGAAATTTTTCAATGCTCTTGAGGTTAACATACATTTTTTACCAAACAAAAAAATGATTTTGACATTTCGACAAAGAATACTTTAACGTAATTAGAAATAGTAACTATTACAGGACATATTAGATTTTTTTCAATTGAAGTTTTATTGATCAATTAATTACAAAATTTATTTATTGGTATAAAAAAATTATGAACCATATGTTTAGATTCAAAACTCTGTAATGTATAAATTAAAAAAAAAATGGAGTTAAATATTATTGTGTTTGTTTGTTTTTCGTTGTTTCTTATTTGTATAACATAGCATACCCTCGGGCATGTGCATTGACATGTGTAATCCATGACCATTTTAAGGACAATAAAAGGCTTGTTTTTCTCCCGTACGGTTATCATTAAGTCTGCATAAAAATGTCCGAAACAATTTGCCGCCGTTTAATGTGATGGTCATACACAGGTCACGCGCGCGGTCATAATTTTGTAATTTAAAGAAACCGCTATGAAGATTAATCTGCAATGTATGGCGATTAAAGTCAGATCTATACATCTATACATATTATGGGTATTTACACAATGTACATTATAATTTCATATGGTACAAACTCGATTTATTTAGAAATGCCTTTTGCCCTTTTAATAATTTACTAATTCATTTATTTATTTTGGGATACCTCAATAACAAAAAATTACCATGCTGCCAAATCCCATTCACTTTTACTTGTGAATAGAATTTTGTATAAAATAAAAAGTACCCCATTTCTATCTAACTAAATTTCAGTACCCCGCAGTTCAAACTCGCATTTTCTTACTTTATTATTCATAAACATACATACTTTAACAACCAATAATTTGTTTTGATGTACTTTTTTCTTTTCAATTAAATCGTTTCAGACATCCTTCTGAGCCCTTTTTATAAACCATTCACATATTCCTCGATTTAAGTCTTAAAAGTTTTAAACGTTTGTACGGGATACAGAGACCTGAGACTTCAAACTAAAAAGCTTGGAGGACTCCAGTTTTTTCAGGCATTATAAACTCAGTCTGAAATTTATGCATTACGTGTTTTAAAAGTGTGTCGAGACAATTATCGATACATAAATGATTGTTACCATAACTTGGCTCGAAGATTCGAATTCTAGTTTGAACAATTCATTAGAAAACCAGATCTCTAAGCGAATTGTCTCTTGTAAAATAGATTAATGCTTCACAAAGTAATAGAGCTCAATTTTGAAGTATTGATGTTTAAACTGTCATTGAGTTATGGTAAGAATTAGTTGCGTATCTTTTACACGGAATACGTGTTTGTGGCTCTGGCCTTGAAAATCATCAATTATCTACATGTACCTGTTCGCCATTTCCACTGCAAAACACATCTTTCACATGCGACCCCGCTCGGAAGTAGAATTCTCAGGTGGACCATACCCTCTTGCATCGGTTCAAAGCGCTTTCCGTGACCATCAATCTCCAAAGGATATCTATCCAAACACGCCTGCGTCACCGGAACTGAATCTGATACTTCCGGACACAAACGGAATTCAAAATATCCTCTCATGTTTTTCTTCACTTCCACAATAGCGTTTATAATAGTGTCATTTGTACTGTAGTACCGGGAAATAAGTCCATTTGAAAATTTCCCGCCAACCTCGTTTGAATGAGGTGTGACGTCATGAGGGTCACCACAAACCCCACATTTCCCAGAATTCAACTGCCACTGGCGCTGCAAGTAAAAACGAAGAATTTGATACACATTCACTTTTTTTTTAAATGTATGCACTTATAATATGCACAATTGAGCTCTTCTTTACATGGCATTCATCAATTTTTATTTCAGTGTATTGCATTTAAGTTTCAAATGATAAAAATCATGTCTAAAACTGTGTATCTATTATAACAGCATGAGTGAGCATCCTTGTTTCTCAAGAAAGTCCTTTTAATCTTGACCTCTGTTATAATAATTTATTTATTAATTAGAGTAATTTCATAAATCTGATTGTCTTGTGTCGATTGGTCGTGAGGCAATGCAGTCATGTATTTCGCATATATATATTATCGTTCTCTATGGATAAACATGCAAACATCAAACAATTTTCGGCCAATGTCCTTTTTCCGCTTGGTTGCTTTTTTCTTTTACAGTTGCCACATTAATCTTTTTTATCTACTTAATAAGACAGTTTATAAATAGATACATTTATAGAGCCGCGTGCTCGATTAAGATTGTTTTATTGAAATTTCATGACTGTGTATTTATTATTTGACATGGAAACACGTTGAATGTGTCCCTATGTAGAATTCAGCTGTCAACATTTCTGTATCACATTTGATTGTGTTCAAAAATATCGCTGTTTTAACAGGGTATAAGGTATCAGGCGTATGAAATCTGATAGGATAATAATTTTACATTCAGAAAAAAAAAATTGAGGCACTAAATTTTAATACATATATAACAGATGTTCTCGGCAAGCTCAGATAATTTATATCTTTATACGAGAAAAAAAAAACAATTAAAAAGGGGGATTTTAAAAACACGAATTATAGCATTGAAACTATGTGTAAGATAAATTAATATCAGATAGAAATGTTTTTCCTGAAATATGTATTTTAAATTTTTCTGTAACGACATTAACAAGAAATGGAATAATCTATATAAGACAAATTGGGAAATCTTTCTTACCCAGTATCCTCCGCAGTTCAATCCATCATCATCACGATTGATTGGACTTTTAAATCCTCGTCGCCATAGTGATGACCTTTGTGCTGGTTCTAAAAGGCGCCCTCTGGCGTTAATAAGTGATACTAAAGTTGAAACAAAGGCGGCAGCAAAAAATATACTGAAAGAAAAAAATACATCTCTAGCTATCTAAGATTCAAAGGTCAACTGACAACTCTAAATGTAGATGTGTGCAAGTTTTATGAAATTATATTATTCTGTCGAAAAAATCAACATTTTCAATTTATGCGAAGAATATGATTATATATATGTTGTGCAACTTTTAAAAATCTTTCATTAGGTTTGTTGATATATTCCCCTCATAACAATGATAATATATTTTTCATCTTAGCAAAAAGTATATGTATTTAGGTATATTTTTTGTGCCACTTTGAAAAAAAATCTCATGATATCAACAGTCCATTGGCCTTTTTATATTCCAGATTATTTGAATCGTGGGAAGATGAGCTTATTTGTCAACGGGCCATTCTATTACCCTGTCATTTGTGATTCTTTATGTCCGGAGATGTAGAATAATAAAAAAGATCATGCGTTATGCAAAGGTCAAAAGTTGAGATGAATTCACCATAGTTCTTCATAAATGTGTCTGCGTGAAGACTTAATTTCATGTTACTAGTTTCAAATGTTTTTCTCCGATTCTTATATAGAATTATTTTCTTATATCGACGATGCATTTTTTTTACTATGGTTTTATTTCAGTAGTTGGTACTTGAAATCATAGACCCACTTTACACATAGAAATGTCAGCATGGAATTCGAATTGCTTTGGCATCAAAAAGTTCTTGAAAATTTTCATGTACAATATATTATTTTATAATTTTTTTAAAAAGAAAAAGTGGGTAATTTTTGTAAGATATACGTGTGTACAATAAGTTTGAATAATTTCTTTTAAAATCATGAGGCTGATGATTATTTCAAAAGTGACGTCATAGTCTTTATCGTTTACCTATATCTGTTTTATTTCATATAAAAAAATATCAGTTGATGACACTACTGTAAACAAAATATATTGTTCTTATACATGAACGTATACATTTTTATGTTTGAGAATACATGTTACCAAGTGATACAGAATATTCTTCAATTATATTAAGTTTCCAGTAAATGTCGCCACCATAATTATTTTATGATCTTCGCATCTTGCCCGCTGATCTCGCGATATCTCGGTAAATCTCGTAATGGATACAGCACTCTATTTTTGATAGGATGAACGTGTCTGCGGTTTTTTTATGTGGCGACGGCTTGCTGGGGACCAGAACTCAATTTAGAAATGTCATTTCAAAAATAGATTTCTTCAATATAACAATAAACAAAGACTACTAGATGAAAATATTCCCATTTAAATTTTATTATCACTGCGAATGTTGTATTAATATATATTTAATTTTTTTGTCTTGTTCAAGGAGGAAGTTGTAGAAATCAAAATCAGAGCATCTCATGAATATATAAGAATTTTAAAGTTATTCTTAAAAATATTGCTAACTTCTTTTGAATATTCTTTCATTCTAGCTTTTAGTTCCTTTCACTATTTCTTGACTTTTTTAAAAGTAGATTTTTATATTAGTAAAACATTTTGCATAAAAAAATATCGTCATGCCTATGTTTATTAAACATCTCTGCTTTGAAAAAAATATTGCAATGTAATCAATCATGATGTCAATTAGATAAAAATGAATCATATGATTAGATTAGCTATACATTAAGTACAGTAACTTCTTTTTTTCTGATAAAATTAGTAGTTTTTAAGCTATGGGTTAACTTGATAAATCAGAAAGCAACCAAATTTTTGATTAAATTAATATTTGGTTAAAATATTTTTTTTTCTTGTAAAACTGCAAAAAAGCATGAAAATAAACATTTACCTTTTCCTCTTAAAGCGAATCATGGTCCTAAATTTATGAATCGCACACTCCCTCTTCAAAGGGAGAACAAATGTTAGCGACTTCCAAACTCGAAGTCTCTGGCGCAGCGCTCGGTCGGACCCAAATCTTGCTAATGCTTGTCCACGAAAGAAGGAAACGGATTGTGATCAGGGATATACATCAGTAGGACCGCAATAGACAGTTTTATTTCTCCATAACTTGGACATTACCGAGGAGATTATTTTTTTCTTTATTTATGGGGTTCGGCAAGGGCACCCATTATGGGGCTATTGTTTTATAACAAGTTTTGTCCAACATTTTTATTTTTATTTATTTATTTATTTTTTTTTTTGATATCAGTAAAAAGATACATAACAAATAATAACCTAAAATTTTATTTTGAATTTAGATATATTCCTGTGTAATCTGGACTTTTTTATATAAACGAATTTTTAAAAATATATTTGGTCTTTCTTGCGTATCAAATATTGATGATTATGTTGGTTTCAAGTGTATTCCATCTAACTTTCTTTGAATTTTAAACAACGCTTGTACATCTTGTATCGTCTTTCAATTTTTACAATTATTTATGAATCAGCAAGGGTTTTCTTTAAAAGTTATGCGTAAATGTGTGCCCTTTCCTCACCCGTTAAGGATAGCATTGATTTTTTTTTTACTGGAATATAAAGTATTCACAATTTAAAAAAAAAATAATTAATATTGTAAACAATTTAATTACATTTATTTAAATTACAAATGAAAAAACAAAACATTAAAATATTTAAGATTCATACTTAAGGTACCTAAATCATAAGTGACGAAAACACAATTAGTTTAATCATTAATATCACGGTAAAGTTCTATTTTACAGGGGAATAAATTTTAATTTTTTCTTTCCTTCTGGGATCCCCAGAGGTGGACACACGAACATGTAACGTCTGCTTGAAGGTGTCCTTTCGTTTTGTAATTATCCCATCGTAATTGTTGCATTAACACATTAAACGATGTCTTCCGAGATGTGCCTGTGTATTAAAGCCCAGGTAATTATCGCCCCTCTTTACGACTGTGCACTTGCGCTATGCACCGTATTTTATGCAGAATATGGTGCAATGATTGAAATTTAAGTATCATTGATTAATTGCTTGACACAAGGTCAAAGGGCGAGAATATCGTTGTGTTTACGAGATCTGACGCGATAATTGAGGGGTTCCGAAGTGTTTTCGGGGTTGTTGGCGTAAAAGTCGTCACGATAATATGCGAGATGCACGTGCCATGACAAAAAACCACAGAAAACAGCATGAAAACGATATATAGAGTAAATCTGTACAGTTATACAAAATAATAGGATTTAAAGAAATGCAACAAATTACATAACAGAACTAGTACATTTATACAAACGTAGCTATTATATCAATTTCGACAGGTCCATATTATGATACATATTTTTTTTAAAACATCAATTTGATAAAGGTTGTATTGTTAAGATGTACATGTCATTGATTTTTTGAAATGTAGCATCACACCTCATAATTATCTTGTTAAGGTACATGTACATGTTGAATTTAATTTTTCTCTACATAACAAAAAACCAAAGACTGTTCAATCTATTTTGACATAAATATTATGTAATGTTCTTTCTACATTTATTATTTCATCTCAGTTTTCGTTCTCTATTACAATTACATGTACCTAAAGACTGTTTTACAAATTCCTGACAAAATATAATTATGTGAAATATCACATTTTAATTTTAAAGTCAAAAGATCACTAAAACGTTTGTTATACTGAAACAATTGTTTTCCAGTTAACATTCAAAATGCACAACTTACTCCAGGGTCGTAGAAAGCAATTTTGTTTTTGGTGGTGGTGGTTGGGGGGAGGGGTTACAGGTTACAGCGAATATTAATATTTTAGGGCGGGGGTCTTTGACAAAAAATCTTTGACAAGCAAAAAAAAAATCATTAAAAAAGAACATTAAACTTCATAACTGGGGCGGGAACAAGCATATAGTTGCTGCTAATGGTATATAATCTATACATCGGCAAAAATTTTAGGATGGAGGATGGCTCATGCTCCCGGTTTCTACGGTCATCATTATTTAAGGAATAACTGTCTTATTTTTTGATTTCATGAAGTGATCAATCGATTGGCTTGCGTGATAATTTGCATAAACACCGAAGGCGTTTATGCATAAAATTATCACGCAAGCCAATCGATTGATCATCTTCATGAAATTGAAAAATCTGACAGTTATTCCTTATATTTACATGCTTTGATTCCGCCAATCCACGTGCTCCAGGCCCTGCTTCGTCTAGCTGTTTGTTCCGCCCTACACGAGGTTTTTTTGGAACCGCACCAATACATTGATGGAGAAATAAAGTACATTTACATTTGGTAATTTTATCTCGGACAAAGACATTGGAAATGTAAATATTCTGAACATGAATGTTAGTTTCATTGCATTGATTGATTGTATATTGGTAAACGTCCCTTTCGAGAATTTTTCACTGACGTCACCGTATGCCGGTGAAGGGCTGTAAAATTTAGACCTATACTTGGCATTTGTGGCAATTGTGTGAGGGTTCTTTATCCTGCCAACGTCTACTTGACACGGGACCTACGTTTTTAAGGTCATATCCGAAAGACCCGTGACTTTCACTTCAAGCGCCGAAGGCGAAGGAACAGTCACTACAGTCACCACGAATGAGCCTCCCGATCACGAAGCGAAAACTCTACCACTAGGCTACCGTAACCGGTTTCATTAATATTGCATTGATCGTTGTACTGACGTTGTTCAAATATAGATCAGTTCTGTATACCAGAGTTAATTAGTATATTATGCAATTTTTAAAATATTCATGTTGGCAGTAGAAACAAAGGTATTTGGGTATTTGTTTAAATTCAATAATAATACTCTGGAGATGGGTAGGGTTGGTATGGAAGCACTTAAGTAAACATGTATTTGCACTGCAATGTAAACACTACACCAAGAGCAAAAAAATCCTTTGCTATTCTACGTTCTACCTGATGGGACTTTTTCTGCTTATAACCCAAGGTCCTTAAGTTTTTTTGCACTGTGAACTTGTATTGTCCCCATTCCTGTTTTTGGTTACTTACAAACTGATGAAATAAAACTAAATTATTATTAATATCTATCTTTCTATAGATTTACATATACTTCCAACACCGTGACATATAAAGATAAGAAGCATGTGACCCCTCAATCTCAGAATTCGTGGGTTTCACAAATTCATTCAGTAAAATTGTCCCTTATCTCTCATTTCCTCTCTTCCCTCTTAATCCGTGTGTCACAAAAAATGCAGGGAGGAAATTCGGACTACACCCATGAAAAGAATAAGAAACAATGGTCTTCCTTGCTTTTGATGTGCATTCTCATTGTTTTGTGTGTTTTCTTAGTCGTTATCGGCGTGTTTTTGTTTCTTCAATATAAGGAAATAGAGGACTTGAAATTCAGAGTTACTCTTCTTGAAAAAGAAAAGGTGATATCAAGGGTCGAGAGTTTCCATGTCAAGGTAAGCAAAGAAAATATGATTTGTTTAAATAATATGAAAATGTCATGGTCTCTGAATTCAATGATGTTCTTTTTTATTTTAAAGAAATTACGAACTGCATGTTTATACTTCAGCTAACATGTATACCCAGGAGAAGAGGTCATTTAATATATTGGTCTAGATCTGTCAATAATTCTATCCTTAGACTAGATATGAAAACAAAATGTCGGATCAGTTTACGACATTTTATAATTTCAACAAAATTGAGTCTGATTTAATTTACACCCACCCCTCAAAAATCTAATCAATGAAACAATAGATAAATTATAGATATAATACATTGCATATAGCTCTCTTATTAATTAAATAAACGTTTGGCATTCAGAAGCTCGTATGTTGTTTATATGTTATCCTCAATATTACAGCTTCTTGCTATCCATCCTACGTATGACACATAAACTTTATAGAAAATAAAATGACTTCATTAATGTTGTCTTTTAATTCACAGACTGATAAGGTGATACGAGACAAGCGGCAATTAACAACGGCCCAATACAGCAGCCTTTTACAGGAAATAACACAGAGACAGGTAAAAGCACAATGACAATGGCGGATTTTTGGGGGGGTAGGCCACCTTAAAATTATAACTTTTGCTGAAAAAAAAAACTGTTTGTAATTTATATAACGATTAATTTGAGTTCGAGTTGACTGTTGATTACAATCTAGCATTTGTGCATTAAATAGGGTTAAGGCTGTTTTTTGCCTGGTCGTAAATGAAGTTCTCAATCATGCATGCAATAACATGTAATTTATTAACCGTATTGCAGAAGCAATAACTATGACCTTCGTATACACTGAAATACATGTACATGACTGGCGCGTAGCATCGTTTTTGAAAGGGGGGGCAGCCAGAAAAATTTTTTTTTACTTACCTGAAAAAGTTGACAAGCTAAAAAAAAAAAAAAACAAAAAAAAAGCAGAAAAGGAAAAAGTTGCCCAAAGTTGAAAATCCTATTTCGTGGGGGGGGGGGGGTAAACTTTTTCTCAGTGTCAACTACTTTCAGTACCAATTCTAATGCTACATTTTCGGTACATCACTAAAAGTGGGGGGGGGGGGGCAACCAGGCTTTCAATTAACATTTCCTATAGTAGAAGTAAGGTTGGGAAAAAAAGTGTGGGGGGGGGGGGGGCCAGCCCCCCCCCCCCCTGCCCCCCTCCCCCCTGTTGCTACGCCCCTGCATGAGTTGAAAAACTTAACCATCTTATCTATTCTAAATAAGCTAGTGATATGAACTTCCTTAATGGAGAATAAAATATATTTGTGAAGATTATGGTTGTTTTCTGTTTTTTAGCTGGATGCCTTAATGTCGAGGTGCGGAAATGCATCTAAGATCTGCATACCAGGTACGCCGTCGAACAAACGCGTCAGCATAACATTATCTTTGTGTACATACCTGTATATATATATGCAGTGTTTAGGTCATAAGTGCACCGATTTCACTGTTCTTATCTGATTTATGTAGGCCCAAAAGGTGACGCCGGTCTTAAAGGTGACATAGGTAAATATATACAGCATTTGTTCAAAGTGTTTTTCAGGTTAATTCAAATATCTCAACAAATACAAATAATACACACAATATATACATTATAGGAACATGAAGAAAATTTTAGGACATACGCAACGTACCTTACCGACTGATAATTTTTCAAGATATTCTTAATTTTAGATTACAGTGTCATCAGATGTTCATAGACAAAAAAAATCAGCTTGCCTTACAGGCAAATACATGTGTATATAAATATATATATATAATACTAAATATATATTCTCTATATAGGTGTTTCTTTTATCCAAATTGAAGTTAGAAGAGGTATACAAGAACATATATAAACATTAAAATACAGCACACAGTTCCTTCAAAAATTGGAACTCTTCAACTCTATTGGAAAAATACAAAAATGTCCAAACTACGTCGCGTATGTCCTTAAAAGAGATTATTCAAGAACTTTGCTGAGAATGTTTAAATTGTTCAAAGCTTTTTATTTTAGCTTTCGTTGTATTTATCAGAGGTTTTGATAGCAAATTCAATCCACATACTGTATTTATTCAAGATAACATTTTTTTGAATTTTATTTTATCTTATATGGCTTTAGGTTTAAAGGGAGATCCGGGACCACGTGGACCTCCGGGACCAAAGGGGGATTCCGGAAGTGTTGGAACTTCCGGTTTAATTGGACCTCCGGGTCCTAAGGGTGAATCTGGTGCCACGGGACTCCAGGGAAATCCTGGACCTCGAGGGGAAAAGGGTAAAGTCTTTTCAAACACCATTTAAAGATTCAAAAGTGCATGCTCAGCTATTGAACTTGATGTTTGTTTTTATACAGGCGAAAAAGGAGACATGGGTCTTCAGGGACTTCCAGGGGTCAAAGGTGAAGCTCCTTCCCAGAAGTCTTTGGATATGTGTTGCAACAGATTAGGTACTTTGGGTTTTTAGTATTTCCTTAAATAAAGAATTAAGTATGTATAACATAACTCGAACGATAAATGTCTTCTTTTTTTCTCAAAGAACGTCCCAAGAGGTAGCTAATGTAGAAAATAAAACAAAGCAACTTAAGTTTCACCTTAATACGATATATTTATTTCGTAAAAGTACTAGAGTCATTATAAAGAATCGAGATCTTTTAGGGAATAAAAAGACCTCAAAGTCAACTTTCAAAGTACTGTTTCAGCTGCCCCTTCTATTGTTGGGCCAACAAATGACGTCATGACGGTGGAACACGGACATGACGTTACACTTCCGTGTAAGACTTCCGGTGCTCCGAAAGCTGATACAGAATGGAATCCTGGGGTGGATCCAACCCAGCATGGGCGTTATATACAGTCTACAGAGGGACTAGAAATCTCCAACGCCCAGTATCTTGACAGCAGAATGTTTACCTGTAAAGCTAGCAATATATTCGGTAGCTACGAGAAACATATATACCTTGTCGTCATAGGTAAGAGTTTTTTTCCCGATATACTAGTACTTGCATGGTTTTCAAGGTAAATCAGCATTTTTGACACATGTATGATAGTTATAAATGAGACAACTTATACCAGTACATGATCAAGGTAGTTAATGGAGCCAAACGTCTGTCTCGTCACGATAGGGTTAATTATATTATTGTTACCCTTTTTTACCCATTAAAATTACATTGCATCCCTGGAAAAGTTTATCCTTCTTTTTTACTTTCTTTGATTATATCCGTGATGAATGTTAAACAAATTAAGATATCTGTGTACACAATGTAGGAATCATTCAACTCTGCGAAAAATAAATGACTAAATATGCTTTTAGGTATCCACACTTGCATTTGTTGATGTTTCTAAGATATTTTATTTGATTTAAGATCCTATTCAATTAACCTTGACCCCAACAACCCTTGACGTCACAGCTTCCGCGACCCCGTCTTTAGACTTCCTCTGCACATTCAAGGGACTTCCGCCTCCCCGTGTTCAGTGGTTTCATCTTGGCCCGGATGGAACGCGGCATAACGTGACATCACAAGCGCAGACAGGTGGTGGGCGGAGCACTCTGCATATCAATAACCCGGATGCAATGAGTACTGGCCAATACACGTGCAATGTATTGAATGCTTACCAATCACAGAGTCAAATAGCCAACGTTACTGTTCATTGCAAGTAAATTCTTCTATATTCTTTACCTTATATCGGTATATTGGAACTTAAAGACAAACCATTTCATCAAAACTGGGTTTCATAATTTGACATAAAAATGTACAATGTACTTATAAGTCCTACTAAGACTTATCTGTCGTACCAGAGTGTCAATGAACCTTAATTATTGTATTATTTTTAATATTTAATTATATCTAATTAGTTAAAGGTACATATTTTTATTTAATTTTATTTCGTTTCAAACTTTTATTTAGACTTGATGGTCACTTTCTATGCTGGGCTGTACCGTTCAATAAATCAAAATGAGCGAGTTTTAAGATTAAACTTTCAAGAACATTTATAATTTTTCCTTGTTATAGCAAAACCTGTTATAATGAAAGGACCTGGAACAGAAACAGCTACGATCGGTGAAACTGTAATTCTCCGATGTGACGTGGCCGGAAATCCACTTTCCACTGTAGAATGGACTTTCCCGAAGGTAAAAAAATATCACGACTTCTTCGTAAACATTACCTTTCATTATGTCAAAAGGATCCTTACAAATAGTTCAATTCTCAGTCAACCTTGGACTTTCAGTAAGGCGTGGTATTCTCGGCGTTACATAATTAGCGTCTGAAATTTACAAGTCTTTCATTCACGGTTAATAAAAAAAAATACATGTATATTCCAGCAAATGTCAACGTATGTAGAAATGATCCAATGATAGTGTTTCGTACGACAAAATGGTGGGGCTTAAGTCATATCATCGTTGTCAACAACAATTTAAAATTGTTGATGTTATCAATTTCTGAACCAATGAGAATCTATTCGCCGTTTGAAAGACGTAGTGTCGAGAAAGTCACGCCCTCCTGAAAGTCCGAGGTTAACTGAGAATTGTACTAAATGTACAGCCGAATTTCCATCTTTCGAACATAGATGCTCTTTGGCCCAATGTATTTCTGATGAATTGTGAAATTATATGTTTGTTATAGACAGGTACAGCTGTACCTAAAGACGTAAGGATAAATCCAGACGGCTCTATTACCATAGTCCATGTGGATCAATTCAGTGAGGGGGATTACATGTGCAACGCCACTAATTCATTTGGATCCGCCACTGCATCTGGTCATCTTAACGTTATAGGTAGGATGTAGACCTGCGTGTTAAGATGTTTTCATAATAACAAATATCAATTTGTTATTTTTTTCTGTTCCGTTTTTCGTCTTGACGAAGTTCATTTATAAATTTTACCATACAAATATTCAGACCTTGTTCTAAAAAGTTGTTTTATACCTCAAATATCTCTAACGCAAAAAGTAATTTCATTCTCAGCGATAGGATGCAAATTACTCTGAATTTCTGGAGTATAATATACCTTAAATTTGGGTCCTAAATGGATTGTAATGAAATATAATCGTTTCATTTTTAATTAAACCAGTTCCGCTAGTAGTCCAAACAAAAACAGAAGAACTTCCGGTGACTTCGGAAACCTTCGTAGAACTCCAGTGTTCCGGAAGTGGTAATCCCACACCTACGTTAACATGGCAGAAGGTTGGGTCATCACCTTTGAACTCTGACCCCAGTAAATATATTATGCTTGCCAATGGTAACATGATTATTACTGGATTTAACCCGGAAATAGACTCTGGACTTTACGTCTGTAACGGAACGAGTACACAAGGAACTGCCGGAGATTACACGTTAGGTAATTATTCTGACTGACAGAACGAGAATGAAAGTGGGAATGAAAGAAAAAAGAGTAGGGAAGAAAATTAAGAGGCTAAAAGGCGAAAGAGACATAGATGTTTAGTACAAGTTTTACAATATAAAATACAAATCAAATTTCAACCATTTTCAAGCCTTGAAGTACATGTGTAGGTGACCTACATTTCAGAGATAAACCTCATTTTTTTGTATAGTCTTAAAAGATTACTCCCGATAACAAAATTGCCTAGCTAGGATTAGTGATTTTCTAAAATTAGTGTTTGATTCTTATATTTTTAGTATACAAAAATCTAGGACCTCTGCAGTGCAATTCTACATTCAAAGAATGCTCCACTAAGGTCGGCGTGTCCTGTGGGTAAGGGATATTAAAAGATTCCACACAGTCATAAAAATCAAGGGTTTCTTTTGCTATTTTCTATTTATATACAATTTTCAATGGATTCGATAAAATGTTTATTTGAACAAAAAATGCTTAAGTAGAATTTTTATTACTTATATTTTTTTTTTTTAGTTTTTGAGCTGTATATATCTTGAGTGATGCTTTTGATTTTTTATAAAATATGCATAAATTGTATACTAGTATATTGATACAGTAGATAATGTTTTAATATGAGTTGGGGATTATTACGTCAGACCTTAGATCGTGTTTTTTTTTTAGGTTTTTTGATAAAATAATTGATTTTACATTCCAAGATTTATCTTACTATTAAAATAAAAAAAATTAAATCAAAAGAACATTGACGCCTATATTTTTTTTTTCAGAGGTCAATGTCCAGGAAACTGTGACGTCATGAATTCAGGGATCGTTTACGGTTTTAAATCTTATACACCGGTAAAAAGTTTATTTTCCCTATGCATATCCAGTTTTTTTTGTGAATTTAAAATTGAATTAAATCGGATATGCATTTACCTTACTTTTGGTCAGAGGAACATTTCTTAAAAATGTTACGTAGCAGTTTTTTTTTATTAATGTCACTTGAAATAATTTAAATGCACAACTTTTTATTTGAAATAAATAAACTAAAACAAAAAAATAATGTTTCGTCAATATTATACTGTAGCATATTCTTTTCGTGTAGATGTCCCCAATCTGTTTGTCCGGTAAACACATGGGCGTGGTGGGTCGACCCGGGGACACGATCATCTGGTCAGTGGAGGCAGGGGGAGACACATTTGAGGCAAAACAAAACAACGGCATCACAAGTCAATTGTACGTAGTCTACTATATTTATTTTTTTGTTTACAGTGTTTGTTGTTTATTTACTGTATTTGTTGTTTAGTAACAGTATTTGTTGTTTGTTTACAGTATTAATTTGTTTACAGTAATTCTTGTTCATAGTATTTATTTGTTTATAGTTTTATTAGATTGTTAACAGTATTAATTGTTTTTACAGCATTCAAAACTCATCTGCAGCATTCGTTGTTTATTTACAGGATTCGTTGTTTATTTGTTTTTGGTATTCTTAGTTTGTTCATGGAATTTTTTGTTTTTTACAGCATTAATTGTTTGTTTACAGTATTATATGTTTATTTATATCATTCCTTGTTTTTTACAGCATTAATTGTTTGTTTACAGTATTATATGTTTATTCATATCATTCCTTGTTTTTTACAGCATTAATTGTTTGTTTACAGTATTATATGTTTATTTATATCACTCCTTGCTTTTTTGCAGTATTAAATGTTTGTTTACATTATTGTTTGTTTATATTCTGCCTTGTTTGTTTACAGTATTAACTGTTTGTTTACAGTATTAATTGTTTCTCTATATCATTTATTGTTTGTTCACAGTATTTATGTTTGTTTTCAGTATTAAATGTTAGTTCATATAATTCTTTGTTTGTTTACAGAATTACCTGTTTGTTTTCAGCATTGTTTGTTTATTGACAGTGTTATTGTTTGTTGACAGTATTAGTTGTTTGTTTATGGTATTGTTTGTTTACAGCATTAATTGTTTGTATACAGTATTCCTTGTTTGTTTAAATTATTACTTTGTTTGTTTACTGTTTTAATTGTTTGTTTACAATATCAAGTGGTTGCTAGCAATATATATTTTTTGTTTACGGTATTGTTTGCTTAGAGTTTTATTTTATTGTTTACAGTATTAATTGTAAATTGTTTACGGTATTCATTTTTTGTTTACAGTATTATTTGATAATTTACGGTATTAACTAACCGTTTAGAGTATTAAATGTTTGTTTACAATATTAAATGTGTGTTAACAGTATTAAATGTTTGTTTACGGTATTAAATGTTTGTTAATGGTTTTGATTGTTAACTGTATTCTTCACTTGTTTACAGTATCAATTGTTTGTTCACAGTATAAATTGTTTGTTTACAGTAACTATTGTTTGTTTACAGTAACTATTGTTTGTTTAAATCATTTGTTCTTTGTTTACAGTATTAATTGTTTGTTTACAGCTCGGGCCCACTGGCTGAGAAGATGACGGTCTATACTAAACAACCCCAGTTGGGTGGGCACACCACTATAGCGCCCATAGCTCCACTGGGCGGGTAGCGCCTATAGCTCTTCGTGGCGGGAACCTAGCTGACCAGATCAAGATTATATGTTCTTACAATAAATTATGGTTTTGACTTTTTTTCATTTTTTAATTGATGTTTCCTAAGATTTAAACTATTTGACAACCCTCTAGATTTCTGTGCACGTCAAATATTACACTGAAGCAGATGAATAATTTTAAAATTAATCTGAAGGATATGATATACCCGGTAATTAAAAAAAAGTCGTCTGGGCTAAAAACTTTTTGATAAACTGAAGAGTAACAAAGTCAGTAAAAAAGGAAATTAGCCTGAAACAATGTTGATTCAGATTTGTTCAAGTCATGACCCCTGGGATAAGGGATTGGCAACAATATTATATGTGGTCAATTTTTCATCAATTTTACAGCGCATTCTGTTTCGGAAAACATAGAGCACAAGCTTGCCCATCTACCAAATTGATATATTTTATAAACTAGTATCAGATACAATTTATGTGTAAAAAGCTCAGATAGGCAAACTAAGTGCTCTATGTTTTCTGAAGAGAAAAATATATCGAATATAATGAAATTCTACCAGAATTATGGAAATTCTGGAAAATGTCCAACTTCTGTACCCTCTTGTGGCTTCCACGTAAGCTTTGAATCCGAATTGGTGCTTGTTTTAAAGCAAACATTATTTTAAGTTCTTAACTACAAACTATCACAATTTACAATTTGCAGAGTTTTGATTTTTACCACAAATAAGGGGCCAGATGTGACCGTTACCCTACCTTGTCCTTTGATGTGTCTCTACAATTTTTTTTTTTCTCGATTAACATTTGTACATGGCAATTGTCTGATATATAAAATCAAATTGAAAATTTCTAATCTTTTCTAGAGGACAATAGAGATGCTTAAAGATCTACAAACAAACACCCATAAAGACATTAAAAACCATGCACTACATAACGAACATGATTTCAAATACAGTGTTATCGTTAATTCGGTAATCCATAAAGAATTCAATTAATTTATCTACATGAACTTAGAATCATTACTTTCATCTTTATGTACAATGTATATTCACTCATTCTAAATTTAAATTATAATTTTTCACGCATATTGACGATCCTCGCGATCGACTGCTCATGTTTAAAAAAAAATCTTCTCTCTGCTTCTTTTCCCTGTCCTTTATTTATTAAAAAAAAATCAGGGAGGTTTTGCGACATCTTTGTTACCTATAGCTGAATTGCATGATGGTACATGTAGTTCACATCCTTAAGTTTTGAAAAATTTAGGATCCGCCACCCTATTTACTTTCAAATGGTACTGCATTTTAAACCTGTTGAGTTTTATCAAAAGCTGGTTTACTATTTGTTTGCATATTTCAGGTTTATCTGTGCATTACAGATGTCAAAATCTAGCAGAGCTAACGAGTGTACGGTCACGCTTTACTCTATTTAACAGGCATATTACACAAACAGGTATGAACTTGAACTATATATTTGCTTGTGTACGAGTAACATGTAATTAATTTAAAGGAGGGGCAGTTGATTATGTTGAGAAAGCCCTATACTGTTAAAAAAATCATACCTTGAACATGCATGTCAGTGTGATGACTCTAGCATACATGTTACAGTGTGAATGTACATTCCCCCGCCTTAAAGATTCCTCCCCTTGTTAATGGTCCATTTATCCGCTTAATTACTCGTGATATGGCAAACAAACAAGAAGACTCCCCCCCCCCCCCTTTCCATCTATAGATCTCGATCAATCAAATCTAGCCTTGAGTTTAATTACGAAGGCCATTTCCACTATACACGCATGCATAGCTTTTTTTGTTTTTTTATATGTTTTCTGTTTTAGATCGAGGTTTTCCCGAATGCAAATCAAACAAAATTTTATTGCTACTCGCTGCTCCGTTACGTCCTTCGACGTCTTGGTGTTTTGCCTTTTTTTAATCAAGTCTATCTGTATTTAGAAATCGATATTTGTAAAGCGATGTATTACATTAACTTTAAAGCATTCTGAAGTAATAAAATTATACTAAATTTAACATTTTAATTTTATTCAGTGCCATTTATAAGAGGTATGACTATAAACTTTATGAAGTGTAAAATAACTAGATGACTCAATTTTGACCTGCTCCGTGATCCTGTTTTTCCACCACCCGATCCTTACACTTATCACCTTTTACTAAAAGAAAATTATCATCGGATAGACACTGCTAGTACAAAACCATGGAATTTCGTCCTTCCGTACGGATTGATAAAATACTGTTCGAAAAAGAACACAGTGACAATCTATGAAAATCATAGACAATATATGATAAATCCTTTTACTATCAGATATTTATCTACCAGCATTTTCATATGAGAATATTCAACTGAGAACAGATCCAAGAACTTTATGGGGAGGATATCCATATCCCTGCAAAAAATCTCTGTGTGGAAAATTTTGGATAGGCATTAGCAAGAAAAATAAATTAAAATATTATCTTCTCTAAAATAAATTTTTAAAATGAAAGGACCGGGTCTTGAAGATACTAGTGTTAAATCTTTGATAACTTTGATAAACATCAGAATTAATTACATTTTTTTTACTTAAAATATTTGAATCTGTTGTTAAAATGTGTGTGTCAAATTTGGTTGTAATATGATGACGTTGGATAAAAAGTAAAGTTATGACAAAAGCCTACGAAATTTTTGAGCATGTTTTTAAATTTTCATAAGTACTGAAATTGAAACTATAGAGGGAAAACTTAAGGTTATGTAGGATTCTTCTTTTGTCTAAATGCATTTTTACAGTTGCGCAGGTGAAAATACTAAACGGCTATGTCAGTAATACTCATACATGAATTATATCAACCTCTACTGACAACTTAGCACACAGGTTACATTTAGTTCAGTTTGTAACTGACACCCCCCCCCTCCAACACACACCTGAAATTAAAAATATACATTTTTTTTAAGTGGGTTAACGTTATTTGTGAACCCTCTACTCATAAGCTATAGTTGCGATTTTAATACAAAGTGTAAAGAATCAACTTACATCAAGATAATATTGAGTATCATTACGGATAAGTTTTGTCTTCATATTTGGGTTTTAAATTTCCGTGCAACGAATATATCCGGTTTAGTATTTGGCAATAAACAAAAAGACACCCCCCTCAGTAGGATTGTAGGTTATTCCAAGGATTTGCCAAGCATTGGTCGTTAATAACCAGGTAAAATGTTTCAACACCTTGATCAATTAATTTTCCTGGTATGCTCAATGGTATACAGTTTTATATCCGTCATTTGTTGGTACATATGTAATGTCAACTTATGATGTCACTGATAAAATGCTTTGCACAACAGTTGGCGACAGAATCACTTCATTATACGGTGGCGGATTTAAGGAGGGGGGCACCCGCTGCGCCCTCCCCCCCCTTCCCCGTAGAATTGTCAAAGTTTTGTAAATCATAGGTTCTTCGAAAATATGTAATAATGTCGACTCGGTAGACCTCATTTTTACCCAACAAAATCTCTGTAATCCAGGAGCTACAAAACCCCGGACCCCCATCAGGACTCCGCCCTAGAACCACTGGGGGCCCAGACTCCCTGCCTACTTTTGGCGCCCCCTCTAACGTTAATTTCTGGATCTACGGCTGTTATAATTATAGACAAATAATTATTATTAAACTAAAAAAAACTTTGGTTTTGAACACCTCAAGTAATATAAAGCAGGGGCACAATTACTGGAGCTGAGGTTTACCAAAACAGATCCCGAATAAAGTACACCAAAAAGGAAATATTAGTGTGGAGGGGGTGGTTGGGTGGGGTTGAATGCTTTCCTTCAAATTTATGCTACTTGAAAATGTCGGATCTAAAGTTAATCTTATGTGTTTCAAAATTATGGATATTCGATGAAACAGAGATTCCTAAGATTGTTAATTGTTCGGACGTCCCTAACCCCCCACCCTCAACCCCCTACACACACGCGCATACACTGTACCTAGTTTCAGATTTGTACCTCGCTTGTCAGAAAAAAATTTGGATGTGCGACCGAGAGCTATAAAGCCACTCATTTAAAAAGTACACTTTGAAGTTTCTTGCACTAATCAGGGGTGTGCAATTAGCATCGCCCGACGCCCGGGGCTACCACTTTTTGGGGGTCGGGCTAGTGATTTTCTGCATGGAGGTAGCCCGTCGGGCTAGTAAAAATTATAACTACACACGCAATACATGAAAAGCACAACCTGAATTTTCACTCGTTTTTGCTATGAAATTCCCAACCAGTAAAAATTTTTCTGACAACATGCTCCTACTCTCAATAAATCTCCATAATCTTATCTGTTTTGCAGCATTACTTGACCAATTTACTTCCAAAAAAGATCGTTTTTTCCTAATCCGAATTTCCTCTATTCTTTCGTTTATGGTAAATACTTAAGGAATCACTGTCTAGTTTTGAGAGTATGCCAGGGCATCAACAATAGTGGGAAACATGAGATAATTTGCATAACGGGCGAAGCCCGTTAAAAGCCCGTTATGCTTAAATTATCCCATGTTTCCCACTATTGTTGATGTTCCTGGCATACTCTCAAAACTAGACAGTGATTACTTATATTTCCATTTCATTGTGAAATAGAATTGTAGACTTAGACATTAAAAATGTAGACTAATAGATTTAAATTACACGAGGACTTCCATGCCAATTTCAATAGTCCTCGCACACTGACGTCAAACACAAAGGCAGCCGCACGAGATTTGCATGCATATTTGGCCTCCTTAGCGTCAGACATAGAGACAGATGCGCACGAGTTTTGCATGCGTATTAGGTCGCCTTAGCTGCTGACCTATCGACCTGCCTAATTTACATTCCGGCAGAATTATCAAGAAATAAATTCCCCCAAATTTCAAACAGTTATTACAAAGAAAAAAATTAGAAATGGAAATATATGCAGATATCTCATTAAATTATTTACGATCACCCAATCAACTGAAAGATAAGTGTTTTTTGACTCACATAAAATATATTTATAGTGTATTTAATGATTTAAGATGAAAACAAAATGAATTAAATTTCATTCTAAATGAGCTTTAGCTGCAGATCTGTAGCTCTCCGAAAAATATATATTGATAGACCGGAGAGCTACAGAGCCACCCATTGAAAAAACTGTATATTTATTGCGCACAAAAAAATGCGCTAGGTTCTCGATTTATTTCTCCATGTTTTTAAAGCTGTAATCTCAAAATATTACTAACCGTGTTTTCCTAACACATTCTTTGACTCTTTCCACAACAAAACATTCCTCATAATTGTTGTTAATAGTCCTCCTGGCCCTGATATTGCAATCATCGCACATTTCGCTTATTTATACTGCCATTTTGGTTTCAAAGATAATTCGGTCCAATATGCTTCGTTCAGATGTCAACTACGAGAGAACTTGATAGAGGAGAGAGTAATTTTTTGAAATCTTTCATTTTTTGCAATTGAGGTAAGAACTGGAAAAATTAATCAAGAATCGAGCGCACTTTTTTGTGCGCAATAAATATACAGTTTTTTTCAATGGGTGGCACTGTAGCTCTCCGGTCTATTAATATTTTTTTCGGAGAGCTACAGATCTGCAGCTAAATGAGCTTGTGCAATGTTCAGAAAAAAGGGAAGATAATTTATTTAAATTCATTTTAATCTTTTTTCATTATAATTTATACATGATTTAATTTCATAGTGAGAATTAAATTTTAATTTTAAAAAGAATGACTTCAGTACCCTGACTTTTTCAAATATTAATTTAATTTCAACATAAAAGTTTTTTATTTTAATTTTTGCCCCTTTATTTGGGCTAGTAACTTTTCACTTGGGGCTAGTAACTTTATAGCTGCCACTAGCCCGTGGGCTAGTAATTGATTTTTCTAATTGCACACCCCTGCACTTTCTTGTTAGTATGATACACAGTCACTTGTTTTGGAAATAAATTTTTAAGCCATGGCATGATAGATATTAAATTATGAGTTAAAAAATTATCCCCGAAACAAGTGCATGTGAGATGATACTGTACTTCTCTATCGCCCGCGTGGGGCAGTGGTTAGAGCGTCTGCTCTAGAGTCGCAAAGTAAGGATTGATCCTTACGTCGCCGGTTCGAATCCCACTGTGGGACGTGGAGACCGGTTCTTCAGACGAGACCGTATAAACCAAGGTCCTGTGTCGCAGTAGGTGCTGGCACGAAATAGATCCCCCCCCTGCTCATTGGTCCTAAGTGCCGAGTATAGGACGAAATTTGCAGCTCTCCACCGGCAAGTGGTGGCCTCTCCATATGATAAAAATTCTCGAGAGGGACGATTAACAACATACAAACAAACAAACTGAAGGTATCCAAACTCGGAGGGAACAAAGATCTCTCTTTTTATCAGACTGTACAACTCTCATACGCCTAACCATAATCTCCGGATTTTCTTAGATCAGACATCAAGAGCATCAAGAGATCTGCAACTTACATGTACCCTTCTGGATCCGTCAACTGTCGGTCTTATAAATTTTGCCTTTTGGGGTGGATGGGGACTGATTCTTAGCATAGTTTTGGTTTTCAGAAAAATACTTAAGAGCTAGAACCATGGCTTTCCAAATCGTAATATGATATGCATAAAGTGGCATAGTTTTCCTCATTAGCCCATTAGGAAATTTAACCATGTAATAGTAGGTATTATTTTTTTTGCAGCATAACATCATGTCGGATCGACCCACCATCGACCTTCCCATTGTGGACATGTCCAAAGCCAAAACGGACCGAGCTGGTCTTGCTAAAATTGTAGTGGACGCCCTGGAAAACATTGGCTTTCTTTTCATTGACAATGTCCAAGGACTAGATTTTGACAGATTGTTCCAAGCCTGCAAGTGGTTCTTCTCTCTACCCGAAGAGAAAAAGAGGAAATTGTGCCGGAAAAACTGGGTCCCCGAGAACAAGAATATTTACCGAGGATACTTTCCTGTCGTGGAGGGAGAACCGAGTCGTAAAGAGGGGTTTGAATTTGGTCGTGCTGTTGATCCTAACGATGTTCAGGTAAATATAATATAATTATAATGCTAATTATTTAACATGGAGAATGCCACGCCTTTCCAAAGTCCAAGGTTAACTGAGAATGTAGTAGAGGCTGTTTATTTGCAAAATCTATTGTTAATTTATAAGTATAAGACTTTTTTTACCTTTTAGGTGAGTGCGGACAATTGGTACTATGAGAGCTGTCCATGGCCGGAAGAAGACGGGACATTTCCTTTTAAGGAATACATGACCTCTATGTACGAGGTCATGCATGAACTGGCTATGGAGATTTTACGCTTGACTGCAATCGGTCTAAATTTACCAATTGATGCCTTTACGTATCTGTTTGAAGACAAACCCTGTACCACGTACAGAATTCTACATTATCCCCCATGGAACGGCCCGCCCCCTAGCAACGCTCGCATCGAGGACGGTAAAATCCTAACAACGCCAGATCATTCCGACTCGAATTTCCTCACTCTGCTGGCAACATTCAATTACAAAGGCCTCGAAATCGTGAACTCTGAAGGAAATTGGGTCGCGGTGGAACCGAGACCAAAAAGCCTCGTTATGAACATTGGTGACCTTTTTGACCGAATGACCGGAGGAAACAAATTTCGCGCCACGCGTCATCGTGTCCTTGACATTGGGGTTGACCGGTATTCTGTTCCGTTCTTTCTGGAACCGTCCTACTTCAGTGATGTTGGGGTCAATCTAATAAAAAAGTACACAGGTGAAGAAACGCACGAACCGGAAAAATATGGCTGCTACATGATTCGAGTCGCCAAGTACGAGCGGAAATACTTCGAATACAAGGTACTTCCGGACTTCGAAAAGGTCGGCGAGCGACTCGGCCTGGTGGATCCTGTGGGCTCCTAAATTGAAAGTGAAACTTCATAACAACTTCAAATATGGTGATGAAAAAAAAATTATACCTCATGACGATATATTGGATGAAAAGATCATTCATTTATGTTAAATTGCTAAAAGGTCATTAAAAGGGAAATTCAAGAATTTAACGTTAATACAAAGTGGCGAATAATACTACAAGTCTTATTTATATTTAGTCTACTTTATTCGTGGGTAATATGAAAAGTTACTTTTTATGAAAAATGATTTTTTTAAGTTGTGATTTTTATTTGTTTGTTGTACAAACTCGTTAAGTATGCTGTGCATTGTTTTGTTAGAATTTTATACAAACTTGTATCAAACAAAAAACATGATACTTTAATACAAACATTTTCCACATGTATATGTAAATCATCTTAATGGACCACTTACAACTCATTTAAAATTTCTGAATTATTTTTAACAAATAAAAAGATAAAACCAACTATTGTTTTTTGTTTCCAGTTGATGAAAGCAATACGTGGCACGCATATGTTAAATGTATGCAATACGTGGCACGCATTCTTGGTATATTAAATTTAATATTAATACAATCTAATTCAAAATTGGACGTTTGGTCCGCTCGCATACTTGCTTCAGTAACGATTATTTACGAGCAGCTCGAACATTTAATTTTGTTTAAGTTGAAGGAAATCTACCGGTAATAGGCAGTTGTACAAATATATATATTGAAATGTAGTGCAAAATATGTCACAGTAACTCCTATCTAAAAATATTAACTGCAGTGAAGAAGAAACTTAAGAAGTACTTACATGTATATATATATACTGCACAACAATTTATTGAAGAAGTGGTGTAAATTAGACGTGGATATTTAAAAAAATGCAAGAAACTTTCAATCTCAAAATTTAGTTTACCAAAATCAATAACACCAAAACATAATCGACTTTTTAACACTTATTCTGCTATGTCCCTCGATAGAATTTACATTCAGGCATTTTGACATCTAAGACAGCTAGTGCTGCTTTTTCAATAGAATTGGAATTCGTAAATATACTTACATTGTACCTTGTCATTGGTCATTTGCAAACTTATTTTGATAAAATCATTCTGATTGTATGTGCACACGTATATACTCTGAAGTTGATAAAAATGATGCTTGAATTTCTGATTGACAATATATATTGCTGAAATTCCCATGGGTACCTATTGTACCTTGTCGTTAGCAGACCTATTTCTATATTCATTTGAAGCAGAATTTATTCAAAAACTTGCCGGCATGGCTACAACTGCACACGTTGATACATGTATATCGACGACAAATCATGTATTAACAATTATTGTTAATTCCATTTGATTGCCGACACGATATACCCCAGTGAGCTGTTCGATATGAAATACCATTGAGTCTGAAACATGTGTTTTTAATTTGGTATATTGCTACAAAAAGACGCTAATGACCAAGATTTATGAAAAATTTCAGTGGGAACATCGACTTTGGGAGTTCTGAATGTACCAAACAAAAGTCCCTGTAAAGCCAAAGAAGGGACTGACACTTTTTTTTAAATTGAAGAGTTCCAATCGTAGATGTTGTCAATACATGTGTATATGTTTAATTTGGTATAGAATACGTATTTTTATATATATAGTCAAAATTAATTGGAAGGGTGCCCCCCTCCGCCCCTCATTCCCTGATTCCTATGGCCTATGGTGCTGTACAGTTATATGGTATGCAATTACTAGAGAGATTGTTTGGTGATTATATTGAATGTAATTTTGAAATAATAACGGGTATGGTGTAAAAACAAAAGGAATAAAAAAAAAACCAAAAAAACAAAATATTCCCCAAATAAGGTAAAGGCTTGTCCTAACAAAAATGTAATATGGCTGTCTGTCTGTCCGAAAAAAAAAAACTTTCTCCCAAGCTGGCCATTAATTTTGAATTGGTGGAGAAATGGCTTTTATATCTCACATGTCTATTCTTTATGACAACACCTTTCTGAGTCAAATTTGATCTCATGACTCTAGAGTTTGACGAACTTTAAAGAAATGTTTATTTTTATTGTTTATTGTTAATTGACGAGTACGTCTTTAATCGTACATATCAAAACAAAAATTATTGCATATTGGGAAAATCAAATTTGAAAACAGCCAAAATGCTTTATTTGACAATGAAAATAATTCTAAAATGATTTAAGAATTAGAAATTAACGATATAAAAATTTAGACGAGTATGGACGTATATAGTAATATATGAAATCAAAACCAATTATAAATACATGTAGTACTGGGCTACTTTAAAAAAGAAAATGATTACTAATTTGAGCATTACAATTCATCAATTCCGTGCAAAAGGTGTAACATAGGAGATTTTAAGTCAGTATATGTAGATTGAACCTTCATGCAGACCTAGGTTGTATGACCCAATAAAAAGAAAGATACCCCCTCCTCGACCCCCCCCCCCTTTCCAAAAAAAAAAAATGGTATCTGTCTCGATGATAGGTTTTACTAGAGTTTTTTTTCTTTTTCTATTACTGAATTTTGTATTTAATTAGTAATATCAAATAATATTTGAACCTAACACGTTTGCACCGAGTACCAAGGATATCAATTTTATGTCTTATAAATCAAGAAAGATTATAATAGAAACTTATATTGTGCAATGGGGAATTTTTTGTGGAGGGATTATTTTGGGTTTGTTACGTTTTTTTCCTATGGTACTTATAATGAATAAGTGAAATGAATATCATTTTTGAAAAAAATCCAACAAGCCCCGGGGTTGAATATCTGTGGGGGTGGGGGTTGGGGGGATGGTGGTCCTGTCTACATGTCATGAATAGGTGTCGGAAGCAAATCGAAAGGGGGAGGGCTAAACCAACAAAAAAATTAATCCCAATTTTCAATGCATATACTTTGTATATATTTGCAAAAAACTGGTGGGCTAAGTTCCCCCCTAGCCCCCCCCCCCCCCGGCCCGGTTTCGATGCCTTTGTAAGTACCTGTGTCCTGTACATGTTCATTATTAATTTTGGTATTTTGCGTAGCTTTTTGATAACATAACCTTATTGATTATAAAAATAATTAAATCTTTACCCCGAGGCGTGACTAGGGCCTGTTACATGTATAAGGTGAACATTTGCTCAAATTACCATGATGGCCTAACGGTCAATCATTTAACACAATCCATTCAAAAACGTTAAGTGGAAATCTGTGGTTAATAGAGTAGATCCATGCAACAAGTAAAAATTACACGTAGGTTTAGTAACAGTACGCATTTAAATGCTAGTATTAAACACCATTTTTGTTCATTCAGAAATAAGACATACCGGATAATTTGTAAAAAAAAAAAACAAACAAAACAAACAAAAAAAAAACAAAAAAAAAAAACGAGAGAGTCAGGAGGACTAGAATTTCAGTAAACTCAATGCATAGAAGGGAAAAGGGATAGAGTATATAAAACCTACATCTTTATTTACATACTTGGTGAAGTAAATATTTTATAGACCTTCTATCTGTATATGGATAATTTAGAGCATCAGCTGCACATCTATTTTCCTTAAGGGTCAAACAAATAATATCCAATTAAATACACAAACTATAGATCGATCGACAAAGTGATATAATCGGGTAGTCGGAGAAATTTGTGTGTGTGTGAAGTGATCGCCCTTATAATTTTAAATAACATTCATTTTTTGTATAAATTAAGTATTCTGTAAAATCCTTTTTGAATTAAAAAGATCAAGAATAAACATTTTATAATTTCTTTTAAAATACCGATAAGAATTTTCTATTTGTAGTGGAAAAGAACTATTTCTTTTATTTTTCTATTTAAACAATTATGAAAAATCGATGTAAAGTGCATATGAATAGTTTATTTCACCCAAAAGTGTAATATTTGAGTCAAACAAAATCAAACAAAAAAAAAAAAAAAAAAAAAAAGAAAGAGAGTGTTAAAATGTGGGGAGATAGATGGAGACTGAGAGACTGTGAGACAGGAAGGGAGGGTGGAGGAGTGAGAAGAGAGATGTAGTGAGGGAGAGAAAAGAGGGTGAGCGTGGGGGATAGCAGTCTCCCATTCCATCTTAACACCCTCTGTCTACTCTCCCTGTTCTCTCCTTTTTTCACATTTAGCCTCCTGCTACTATCTCTACCACTGTCTTCTTTACCACTCTACGAGGAAGTGGGAGTGAGAGATTGGAGGAGAGAGAGAAAGAGTGTGGAGAGAGGAGTGAGTGTGTGAGGGGAGAGTGAGAGTGGAGAGAAAGTGGGGAGAGAGGTAGTGAGAGCGAATGTGTGTGTGTGGAGAGAGAGGGAGAAAGAGTGGGGAGTGAGTGTGTGTGAGGAGGTAGAGAGAGAGTGGAGATAGGAGTGAGTGTGTGTGAGGAGAGTGGAAGAGGGAGAGAGTGTGTGTGAGGAGAGTGGAAGAGGGAGAGAGTGTGTGTGAGGAGAGTGGAAGAGGGAGAGAGTGTGTGTGAGGAGAGTGGAAGAGGGAGAGAGGGTGTGAGAGAGTTTGGGGAGAGAGGGAGAGAGAGAGGAAGTGGGGAGAGAGGGAGTGAGAGAGTGGGGAAAGAGGGGAGAGGGAGAGAGTGTGTGTGTGAGAGGGAGTGAGAGTGGGGAGTGAGAGTGGGAAGAGGGATAGTGAGGGAGTGACGTCAAATAAAAAAAGATACGACATAAGTCCACAAATTTTTCGAACAACCCTCTTGTATATAGGCTTTATATAGAAGGAACTTTGGGAAAATTTGAGATCACAAGATTTTACTAAAATAACAGCTTAAAACTTACGACTTTTCTACTTTATACACAACCATTCCCCACCAAAAATTAGAATTCGGTCTTTTTGATATCATTGACAGCTGCTTTTTTTCAATAAAAATGGAACTCATAGATTTATTCCCCTTGTCACTGGTCATTTGCAAAATTAGTTTTTTAAACATTCTGATTGTACACACAAGTACTCTGAAGTTGACATCAAAAAGATGCTTGAGTTTCTGATTGACAATATCTATGTTGATTTTGGAGACCATGCAGATCTTCCATCAATCTATTGGAATTCACATAGGTACCAATATCGCCCCGTTATTAGCAGATCTACTTTTGTATTCATATGAAAGTGGTCCAAAATCTTGTATGTGAAGAAGATTTTAAACATGACATTAATGTACAAGGCATTTTCTGAAATTTTCATTCTTATTTCTGATATGGGATATATCACCTTGAATAAGGATACCACACAGTCGGACACATATGTTTCATTTTTAGAATATTTTACAAATTTGAAAAAATTCTCTTAACCTAAGGTCATACTGAACAAAATTGTGCCAAGTTTGGAATACTTCCATATGAATAGGTTCGGTGCTATTTCTGAAAAAGAAGAAGAATGTTTCTATGTAAAATGTGAAAAGTTGGCCCCGCCCTACCCACAGGGGTCATGATTTGAAAA